ATTATATTTTAATTGATTGCATTTATTTTTGTTGTAACGATTTTGTGTCCGCCTGACGAATTTGAAAACAAAAATAAAAAATAACGGAGTCACCACCAGTCTTTTTTTGGTTAGGTGCGATTGGCCACCTACTAAAACATATCTTTTTAATAAAGTTTTAAAATTTATTAAAATTTATTAAAAAGATAATTTTACGATCTGCGAAATAGTCTGGGTTCAGGAGTCGGTTACGCGTAGGGAAGGATTAGCACCCCCACAATGCCCATTAAAAATGGTACCAATTAACAACATGTTATCCTTTGATTTTGATAAAAATAGTCTAATTTTCGGTGTTCGAAAAATAATTTCCTGGATTTTTTAGTTATTAGAAAAAAAATTTATTCTCGAGAAAAATAAATTAAAACCTTTTTATTGAAATGATTCTTAAAATGTTCCAGTACGTTAGTAATATTAGAAGAACTTTTTCTCACCTAGAGATTTCTTAAGCATCGCTTCTCGGAATACCTTGGAATCTCATCTTCTGAGGCTCAAATTTACTTTTTGTAAAAAATGACATGCGTGTAATGCAAAATGTCACCATGTTTATGCACAATTTTACTCTCTTCTGTTAGAATTTTATTAATTATTTTATTAATATTCTTATTTAAAATTTGAAGAAAAATGAAAATTTCATTATATTAAAGATTTTTTATAAATATTCCAATACACTGGTAATATTTTACAAAAAATCTTCTCACCTAGAGATTTCTTAAAACATCTCTACTCGAAACACTTTTAGAATCCCATCATCGGATAAAATTTCTTTTCTTATTATTTTTATCACTTATATTTTTAATATATTTATCAATTTTTATTTATTACTTTAAAAAAAAGAAAATTTTTATTGTATTGAAAATTTTTTATAAATACTCCAATACACTGGTAGTATTTAAAAAAAATCTTCTCACCTAGAGATTTCGTAGGCATCACTACTCAGAATACCTTTGAATATCATCGTCGAATAAAAATTTTTTTTTCCTTCATTTTTTATTAGTTTAGTATTATTATTAAATTTATTTTTATATTATTTTGTTTTTAAAGTTTATTTTAAAACTTAACAAAATTATAAAAAAATAATTTAACCACATATTTCATTATTTAATCTAACAAATATAAATATTTTGATATGCATAAATATTAATAAAATAATATATAAAAATTAAGAAAAATTAAAAACATTAAAAAAAAATTTACCTGAATCAGACCGATCAACAAGCGGTTCGGTTCGACGGTTTGATCTGACGGTTCGACTCGATCTGGACACTGTTTGGGTGGCTCAGCGGTTCGAGCACGATCTAGTTCGGTCTGGTCCGGTTCAGATGGACCAGTCAGGGGCTGAAGGAGAAACGGGTCATCAAGTCGTGTGGGCGGACCCCGGGTCGGGTCACAGGTCGACGCGCGAATCATCAGAGGCTAAAACGACGTCGTTTTGGGTCTTTAATGAAACAACGTTGTTTTGATTTTGACGATTTATATAAAAGAGCAAAAAAAAAATTTTCAGTTATTTTCTTCTTTTCTGCCAAAAAAATGCCCCTTTTTTTTTTCTTTCTTCTTCAGTCGAACGCCGACTGGTCGATCGCCGTCACTGCCGCCATCTCCATCGTTCACCGGTCACGACCGTCATCGTCGATGGTCGAAAAATTTTCAAAAACACCAAAATGTTCCTCTCAACCTCTTAAGTTTAGATCCGAAGTCCTTTTCACCAAAAAGAGTCCTCACTTCCCTAGATCTGCTTTCAAAGTTTCGGTGAGATTTTTTTTTGTATTCTGACTCTTTTTTTTATGAAACTAACCCTCTTTTTTTTCATGCAGGAAGCTCGGCGCTAGGTTCCTCCCTTCGAAGAGGACTGTTTGATATTTTTTTTGGCAACATCTCATTTTTCTCTGTCTTTTGGCTTCGCTAGGGGCTCTATTTATAGAGCTCCAACCATGTGTGTTTGGGGGGAAGGGCATAGGGCTCGACATAAGGTGTAAGCATGAGTCCCATGCCTCTTTTATTTGTTTTGGCCATATCTGACAGTGGTAGGTTTAGGTGATGGGGGGTAGGGCATAGTGAGATATGGTGGTAGTGGTGCCGAGGATGGCACCACTGCCATCCTCAATTTTTTCTATTTTCTATTCTTTTTTTTGTATTTTTTGTTTTGTATTTTGTATTATTCTTGGTATTTTTTTTGTATTTCATATTTTGTAATATTATTTCATATTTTGTATTTCTGGACAAATTGATGTCCACAATTTTCATGAATTCATTTGTTGTTTGGATAGATTTAGTTGTTAATGCTCTGTTTTTCTCTGTTTTAAGTATCACTTGAGTTGCTAGTTCATTAAGCTGGTTTTTCTCTATTTTGCTGCCATTTTCTTATTGAATTTTGTAGCAAACTTGATTGATGAATTGTTTCTTAGCTCATTTCAATTTCATTTTCATTATAAGCTTCTAGACCTAATTTTTTCTTTCATCAACTTAGTGAGTTTCGGTTGAATTTCACTTTATATTTTAGTAGTTTCTAGTTAGTTCTTGTATTTTCTTGCACTTTTTGTTCTTCAAATTAGTTTTCCTTTTGGTTCCTTAATTGATCTTTTCAATTCTAGTTTATGATCACTTGTTTTAGCATCAATTAGATGTAGATCAATTAATTCATGTTTGGTTACAGGTTAGTTGTTAGTCGTAATTTTGTGTTCTTTCATTACATTGTGCAATTTTTCTTCAACTTTTGCTTTTCAAAGTGATTTCTCATGATATTTTTTTATAGATCTTTGAAATTTCAGCTTGTTTTGAAGAAAATTTAAAGGAACAAAAATGAAAATTCAGATTTAATATACTGGTTTTGAGATGTATTCTATTTCAATTATGTGTGTGTGTTTAGGGTTGGAGTTGGATTTGTTTTGAACCAATTGCTTTAAAGTTTGGGCTACTGCACTTGCAATGTTGATAACTTATCTGTAGAAGAAATTCCTTTATTTAATGTATCCTAAAGTTTATATGTGTTAAGATACTCTTACTTGTTTATTTGAATGAAGATCTAAATGTGGCCAAAGGGTTATTTTATCCCAAAAGTCAAGGAATTTAGGCTTTTTCCATAAATTGGTATGATTGAAAAAGGTAAAAAAAGGATGTTCTAGCTTTAAGCTTTTAATGTCGAAACAAGAAATTAAGCTAATTGTTTTAGTATGACCTATTATAAAAAATTTAGTTTTAGGGTTCAATCTAATTATTTTGTCACACCTATAAATCACAATCATCTTGCTATTAACTATTTTGTTTGGAACTTATATGCAACATGCCCTTTGTGTTTATATCTTTTTCAATCAAAAATTTTTTTGTTGATGTCATCCCCTTGAATCTTATACTTCTTCTACTTTTGAATCATAAAACAGCATGGCTAGCAATATTTTACATGTGTATACAAATTGGATATGCACTCGGATGTGTTTACGATGGAATAGTAAGTTTTCTTTTCTAGCTTTTTATAGGTATTTTTTAAACTGATCTCCTTAATTCCTTCCTAGTTTAAGAATAAAAGAACCATCCTTATTTCAAATATGCCAAGCTTTACTACTATCCATATTTTATGATGCTCTATGCTTTGCCGATACGTTAATATAAAATAACTAGAAACAGGTTGGCAGTCATTTAAATTGGCATTTTGCATTTTTGGCGGAAACCATTGTGATGCTTCCATTTGCTATTTTGGATTTTATTATGAAGCCTTTATAGTTGAAAGATGCATACTGTAGACCTATCAACTTGGATTGGTCCTCTATACTTTTTTCAATTACTTTATGATGATTCCATGATACAATTTTTGTTGCTGCTAAGTCTAAAAAAGCATTGATCTTGATAGATACAGTATCATCAGTTCAAGGTGCAGCATAGTTGGTTTATCCATTACACAATTTGCATTTCCCTCTTGAAACTCTATTATGTGGTCATTTTATTTTGAAGAATTGGTTTATTTCCCTCTTGAAGCATTTGAATCCATTTATTTCTATGAATTTATTTACGAGCTGAAACTATGATTTGAAATGGCTTATCTTATAAACTTCATGGAATCAAATAATCTTTATCTTTTTCCAATGCAATCAAACATGAACTTGATTGAAGATTTATCTCTCAGCCTTTCGTATATTCTCCTTCCCTTAAATTGTTTGGCACTGCATTTCAAGTCTAGCAATTTCATAATGAAATATGCAAAATGAAAGAACTATGATTATGAAAAGTATTTTTGTGAATGCACTCAAAAAGGGAGTGTATATCCTTTTGCCTTGTGCATTTATCATGATCATTGGCCAAAAAATATATCTTAGTTTGTTGCTTTGGTTAAATCTATTTCTTTGTTATTTTTGCATGTATGTAACAATGAGATCTTATATTTCTTCCATGATTCTATCTTGCATTACAAATTTTATGGTATTTTTTATAGCTTACCTAGTGACATTTTTTAATCAAGATGAAACATGAAGTTGTGAAGAAGATAAATGAAATGTACTGTGATGCATTTCTAACAGCACATTTTGAGGTTCTTGGAGAAATGTTCTCTTTCGCAATGGAAGTCAAGAGGAGGAATACAAGTGCGACTCCTTCTATAAAGTCCGTTGATAGGCAAGAGGAAAACAAATACAAAGTGAAATGTTATTGTATGTATTAAACTTTGCATTACATGCATATCAGAACAAATTATTTATTTAGATATTTAAATATTTAGAATATTTAGTTTATGAATTTAAATTTATTTTTATTTCTTTTAACAAATTTTATTTAATTATAATAAATATTAAAAGAAAATTAAAAAAAATAAAAATTTATTTTTAACGGCATTTGTATTTAAAAATGCTACTAAATGCCGAATTTAGTGACATTTGTATAAAAAACACCATTAAATTTAGTGACATTTTTATTACAAATGCCGCTATTTTTAGTATTTAACGGCGTTTTTAAACACAAATGTCACAAAATTAGCGGTGTTTATTTTTATACAAATGCCACCAAATTAATGACGTTTTTATGATAAAAACACTACTAAATTAGCGGTGTCTCAAAGATACAAATGTTGTTAAAATAGCAGCGTTTCTAGATACAAATGTCGCTAATATAGCGATGTTTTCCATATGCAAATGCAGCTAATATAGCGGTATTTTTCATATGTTTTATAGAAAACGTCGCTATTTTTTATGACACATGTATAGTCAGCACTCTGACTGACGTTTTTCGCAAACGTTGCAAATTTTTAGTGGCATTTATAAACGCCGCTAAACATTAAAAAAAGAAAAACGTCACTAAAAACTTAAACCCCTATAGTGTTCCTATCCACAATTATAAATTTACATACCGTAATTGCAAGATTTAAAAGAAATCGCCAATGACAAAAGTATAGCTCCCCAACTCACCATTATCTATTATATAAATGGGCATGTTGTTGTATCTTTTACAAACATAATCAACAATCTTCTCCATGCCCCTTGGAACACATAAAATCTTTCAACACCAGTCTGCTATTAAACAGCAAAGAGAAGGAATTACTGGTTCACCAATTAGAATGCCATCTCATTCTCCAGTTGTGTATGCAAAACGTCAGATGAAATGATCTCCACCTAAGATGCAAGGAGAATGGATGCAGTAATTGGCATATAATGTTGAATAATGATTAAGGCCAATAAAATCAATACTGCCTTTCACATACTCAGTTTCTTCAGGGGAAAACCTTGGCAGTGCACTCCCATGGTATTGGCGCATTTCGGGAGGGTAATCTCCAAAGACTAAAGGATCTATTGCCCTGCTTAATGATAACTTATTCATGTAATATTGAAGAGCAATGTTTACTACAATGTTGCAGCCTAGAGGTAAAAACCAAGTGTCATAATGGTTCAAGATTTGTTATTTTCTATGGTTCACAAATTACATGAAGAAAATGTGCACTTTAAGTCGAGAACCGGACTTGGTTTTGTTTGTTTGATGTTCCATCAGTCCAACCAACAATTAATGACATTAATTTGGGACTGGTTCAAAAGAGTGTTATAATTGTGGCGACTCCTGGTTGTTTCTTTGAATTTTTTTTAAAAGGCTTGATAGAGATGCTAGGGTAAAACAAGGTAACGTTGCAGATCAAGTGGTCATTGAAAATGAAAGCTCGTCTAACTTATGTAGTTTTGTCAGGTCCATCATCAAATAAGACCCAAACTATGGAGATCTACATTGAACCTGAGAGGTATTGTTTGCTTAACCCGAATATCTCACAATTATGGAGATCTACAAAAAGTGTCCCACAAATATAAGTTTAAGTCTCTACATATATTACATAGCGGATACTCAAAAATAACAATATCCCGATGGGATTAGGGTGTTACACATACAATCTTAAGTTCTTTCATTAAACATGGCCTTGCTGCTTAAATGTTCAGGAAATCAAGAGGAAACAACATATAATGCAGTCATCAGGAATTTACTTCTGGTAGTAATAGAGTTTTTATAGAAAGGAAACAAACTCGGTTTAGTGCTTTGATTGAGATACTTACCAGCCACCTATAAAAGCCAAAGCCCTATTTACAGCTTGACGGTCAGATTCTCCATCTCTTAATGGTTCATACATGTAGTTAATCCTATAGGACCACCTTGTTTTGGCTGCAGCAGCATCGAATTCAAGTAAGAAAAATATCCTCAAGCAAAGTTCAAGCTAGAAAATATTTTCAGAATCTCATCCTGTAACCTGAAAATGTTCTCGGTATAGCTTAACAGCCTTGACATGTGACAATAACATGTGCACAACGATTAGAGGCTCTACGTTTGAATTGCCAACAGAACAATGAGCTGGTGGATAATGCCCCTAATATAGGCCATTTCTGCAAACATATTTGGCTTATTGATAGTTGTCCAGTACTTAACTCTATCACCAAAGCTCTTGAAACAAGTTTCAGCCAAAAGAACAAAATCCTCCCTACAAAAGCACTGAATTTTGGCCACCTAACAGCATACACAAAAGAAAAGGAGCTCAATGTCCTAAAGGTTTGATTATGGCTATAATATGGAACTGTTTGAATAAGAAGAGAAACTGAGAAATTACTGCATCAGAGGACTGAGTCAAGACCCATATCTATCCTCCAGTTCTTGTGGGTGATCAAAATGGTGTATTGTAACAAATGGTTCAATTCCTGCTTTCAGGCATTTGTTTAATCAATTATATCATTGTCAAGAAACAATTTTCCACCAACTTTTTTCTTCCCCAAGTTTCTGAACCTCTTACCCCAGACCAAGACGTTGTCTATAATTTTGTTATAAAACTTGATTCCACTTGGATGGACTTCACCAAACCTTCCTCCTGTTCCACCATTGAAGGATCTTAAAATTGTTATAATCTTAAATATAATCAAATGAAATTCTGGTTTTGAGGAACATAATTGGTAGAATTCTGGCCCATGAAATCGAAAACCGATATGCATTTGCCCCAAGAGAATGAGCAATCTCGTATCTTCCTGGTATTATACATAAACAAAGCAACAGTTATACCATTTTCTTCTTATTTCTGATGAAGGTTGAAAATAAGAAAAAATAAACTGAAAATTCTAAAATACCAAGAACAGATGGTAATCATCATCTCCAACATCTCCATTTTCATTTTGTTTAATGTTCCCTGGGAAAGCTAATTCATCAAAGAGTTCAGTTTTATGCATATGTGTGGACAAAATAGTTTGACTAAGAAATAAAATATTGTTCTGCTCTGCTGCAATCAACATTTCCTGTTTACCTGGAATATGGCTGAAAACATCCCAATTCGTGAGGCCTTTACCATCATCAAAATATCCTCCTTCAACCTGTAAAATGAAACCAGAAGTGAAAAACAAAGAAGCAAACAGACAAATAAAGCGAAGAAAGAAAGAAAAGCAAGCATGCCTGATATAAAGATATAGCAGTGCCAAACAGAAAATTATCTGGGAATTGAGATCTTCAGATATCTTGGCTTTTAATTTAAAAATCTTCAGCATTACAACTAAAAGAAAGAAGTAGAAGTACAACAAAGAAAACAAAGAAAGAAAGCTGATTTGTGGTACTGAGAGGCATCTTAGTGAGATAAAAGTGTTAGGCCAAAAGCTCCAATCTAATTCACATCAGCGGAAGTATAATCAAACAATAAATCAAACACATAAGAGATAATAATTTAACGTGATTTGATCCAACTGACTTGTATCTATAGATGAAAAACAAGATCTATTAATTGTAGAGAATTACAAACAAATATCAAATCAAATCAAACATTCATAACTAATATCCATAAACCCTTTCAATCTTTTTTAGTTCTATGGAGTATTCTCAACCTAAACAAACACATTCCATGTGCACCATTTCAACACAAATAAACACAGACCCATATATACCCATTCATCATACCTATATGGACATTCTCAGTACCTAACCCTGTAAAGACTCCATTTATTTATAAACATACAAACTTGCCTATTAAAAATCATTTTTCACTTAAAATTCTTTTTTTGCAAATCAAACTTGCCTTTTAAGAATCTCTTTTCTTATAGAATTCTTCTACTACAAGTCTTCTTGTTCAGCAAACAATATCTAACTAATCCCAAACAAATTTGTTATGGGATTTGAGTCATTATTCCTAACAATCTCCATTTTGACTTAAATTTCATCAAACATCTATCTTCATGTTAGACATACTTAGCTCTACCTACAATGGAATCTCTTGTGTGTTTTCATACTTCATGCAAATAGATTTATCAAAGTATGAATTCGAACTTCTCTCTTGAATTAAACTCCTCTAGGCTTGCGTCTTCTTCCCATGGTTCGAACCATCCATCAGTTTTTCTCACGTCTTGAACCTTTAACTCTAATACCACTTATCATGTGACCATTAACCTCTCCCCTCAAAATTGGCTTATCAGGGTGTGCAACACTAACGTTTTTATATAGCAGTGACCCCATTTTTTCATGTCCAATGTGGGATTGGAGTATCCTGTCTACTCCCCTAGGAGCGCTAATCCACTATTAAATAAATCTTTACAATTGAGAGATTTTTGAAATGAGAAAAGTCACTCAAAACTCTTTATTCAAAACTTAACCCAAAACTCAATCATACCCTTTTAATAACCTACTCACCTAGCTATTCTCTTAGTGTCTAATTATCTACGATTATTAAATTAAAACCAAAATATCTTATTTATAAAGGTGAAACCCCTTATACGTTTACTAAACTCCGAATATAAGATACAAAATAAACTCAAACTTAATTAACTTTTAATGTAGAATTATGAAATTCAAGACAAATCTTAACAAAAAAAAAAAAAACCAAAATCTAGCAAAGTTGGGAATGATAATAAAGATATTATCTATATAGATTTGACCCCAAAAATATGTATATAGATAAGTAGGGCGGGGCCTGCCTGCATGGATAAGTTGTTTATAATAATAAATTCATGGTCATGGGAGCAAGTAGACAGCTCTTTCAGCTAATATTAATTTGGAAATTGGAATTGCACTAACTTTTATAACTTACAGCTTAGAAAACCCAAATTTCTTCTTATGATATTTTTTGGTTTGACGGGGTTTGTAATGAAATATATGAACATTAAGCCAAAAAGTATAATACTAATAATTAATTTTATTACTTTTTTGTTTACTCTTATATGATATAAATACGTCGGATATGGATATAAAAATTTGATCCTCCATATGTACAAAGAATTAGAAAAAAAAATGAACATATCATTGTTGGATACATGACACTAACCTGAGTCAAGTAATATAAATGACGAAAATGAATTCTAAGACTTAAATTCTAATCTACAAAATTTTTTATATTAGAAAGGGAGAATTTGAATCTTGCTTGGGTACTTATCTTTAACTAGTTTCATAATATTACAAAAAATAACAAGTAATATAGATGAAGAAAATGAATTCATTGACGTCAAATTCCTATCTAAAATTTTTTTATATGAAAGAGAGGATTTGAACCCTACTTGATGTTAGGGATCATCAAGGTTCTGATATTATTTATTGGGCAAAAAGCTATAATCTAATCACATTAGCAGAAATGAAATAAAACAATCAATCAATCACACTAAAGATAGCAATTTAACGTGGTTCAACCCAACTAATTTATGTCTACAGATGAAAAATAAGATCCACTAATTGTAAAAATTTATAAACATATAATTAAATCAAACACTCACAATTAATACCCATAGATCCTCTCAATCTCTTATAGTCTTATGAAGTATTCTCAATCCAAACATACACATACCCATATATACTTATGCACCATACTTATGTAGACCCTCTCAATATCCTCTAATCCACTCACAAACGTTAAAATATATATACTTATAAGACGTAAATCTCCAATAGTCTTATGGGGTGTTTATCCCATAAAACCCTATAATTTTCTTACATCTTTTTTTTTTCATACTTAACCTTATAGAGACTTTACTTATTTATAAGTATGTAAACTTATTTATTAAGAATCATTTTCTCTTAGAATTTTTCTACTACAAGTTAAATTTAACTATTAAGAACAATTTTCTCTTAGAATTCTTCTTCTATAAGTCTTTTTATCCATCAAGCAATATCTAGTAAATCTCAACAAATCTGTTATGGGATTTAAGTCATTATTCCCAACAACTTCACCTTGACTCAAATTTCATCAAATTATCTATCTCCGTGCTAGACATGCTTAGTTACACATGCAATGAAAGTCTCACAATCATCTTTTTTTGTGTGTTTTTATGTTTCACACAATTCGATCTATCAAAATACGAACTCGAATTTCTTTTTTTAGTCAAGCTTTTCTAGACTTGCATATTTCCATAGTTGGAACCATGCTCTGATATCACTGGTTAGAGATCACCATAGTTTTGATACCACTTATTGAAGATCACCAAGGCTTTGATACCACTTGTTGGGCAAAAAATCATAATCCAATCATATAACGGAAGCAAAATTAAATAATCAATTAATTACACAATAGATAACAATTTAATATGGTTTGGCCCAATTGACTTACATCCACGGACAGGAAACAAGATCCACTAGTTATAAAGAATCACAAATATACAATTAAATCAAACACTCACAATTAATACTCATAGACCTTCTCATTCTCCTATAGTCTTATAAAGTATTTTCAACCCAAATATACACATACTCATGTGCACCTATGCACCATACCTATGTGAATCCTTTTAGTCTCCTTTAGTCTACTTACAAATATTCAAACAAACGCACACATAAAATGTAAATCTCTAGTAGTCTTATGGGATATCTATCCCATAAAACCTTACAACTCTCTTATATCATTTTCTCATACCTAACCATATAAAAACTTCACATATTTATAAGTATACAAACTTACTTATTAAAAATCTTTTTTCTTTTAGAATTCTTCTTCTATAAGTTTTTTTGTCCATCAAGTAATATCTAATCAATCTCAAACAAATTTATTATAGAATTTGAGTCACTATTTCCAACATTTGGATCCTTATCTATTATTGGTTTCATAATATAAAAATGAAAAATATAAATTTATAAGTAATTGCAAGATTTAAAAAAAAAAAAAAAGAAATTAGAAAGGGGCCAAGGATAACATGTAGCTTTGCAACTTACCATTCTCCATCACATATATAGTTGAACTATTATTTCATACACACTGGGATTTCTATAGTTTGTCTTTTTATTTATTTTATTTATTGATTGATTTTTTATATAAATGTCTAATTTCAGTCAAGAGGATTTTACCTTTACTCTTTGAACTACTTCAAAAAGAATGGTACAAATTGAAGTGACTCTTTGGTCGTTTCTTTGAATTTTCTTTCAATAATTGATAAAGATCAAATCGTCCTTGAAAAATGAAAACGAAAGCTCATCTAACTTATTTAGATTTCTGGTCCATCATCAAATAATGCCCATACCACATAGGTAAATTCTACCTATATCTCAGGTGGCTTGAATTTTTTCCACATCTGATTTCTTTTCTCAAAAACTTTTAGCAAATTTCTCAAATTTTTTTCTCAATTAAAAGAATGTTACTTTCAGGCACCTTAGTCAGACAATAAAAACACAACATCTAGCAAAGTTGGGAAAGACCGTAATAACAATTTTGCATCATTTCAATTATTTATTGTCCGTTGGACTTACATGAACAAGAAAGATATTATCTCACCCTTGACCCTTTGTGTAGATGATCAATTCCATAATGAACTTTCACATGTACTAAAACAAAAGTCATAAAATATTATAAATTTTATTTGATTGTCAAACCAATATTAATAGCTTTATTATTTACTTTGTATTTTAAAATTATTAAGAATTGAATTCTGATTATTAAAATTAAAAACTTAATAAGTTACTAATAAATTTTACGGCCGTTGATTATCTTTATTATTTTATTTGTTCACCAGATCTCTTTCTTTACTTTATATGGTAAATTGTTCACCATATCTATCTCCCTCTTAAAATTTGGACCAATTCTATTCAATAGTATTAACATTCTTTTTAAATTTCAAGTAGGGAAAATTGACCCACTAGCTTATATTTAGATGCATACATGTCCAAGAAGGAATCTATATACATATAAGCTATACAACTACTAATTTATTACTGTTATAATTTCATAAAAAATTAAATAAATACCCTTTTTTTTTTCTTTTGGAAGCCCAAACATGAGATATGGTATAATAAATAGGATATAAAATTTTATATTTAACAAATTAAATATACCTAACATTATCTTTGGTACATTAATGTAGGCATATTGACTTTGTCTTTTTCAATTTAGAGTGGTGTCAAACCTAACAAAATTTTGGGCCGTCTACTCATAACTGTCAATTTTCTTTTAAAATTTTAGTGGGCTCAATTGCCTTGCCTTGGCAACAAAAGGATCAATAATTTTTTTAATTCAATTAAATATGGACAAGAAATTTTAATTTCATGGTAGTTATACTTTATCTGAAAATAAATAAAGTTTCTGAATCTAAAACTTGTCATAATTCCTCCAATTTAAGTAGAATTAAATAGGAGAAAAGGATAGAGCTCATCCTCCTATTAAAAAAAACACATGCAAAATTAATAAAATGATATAAAGCCAAAATGTCAAACGGATGCCTTGTGGGCAAACAACTATGCCTCTTTATAGAACTTCAAGGCCCTAACAAATTAATTTTACCCTAGTTTTTCTTTGAAAAAAATTTACCCTAGTTTCAAGGACTTACATGTATAGTTTTAGCACAAGCATTAAAAATAATAATTAATGATAAATAAAAGAGAGAAATTGTAGCTGTGAGGTGGAGAAAAAAGGGGAAACAAGAATTTGAAGCCAACCCTACTTTTTTTTTTTTAATAGAAATGCAATTGCAATCTGCAAATTAATTAACTCTCTTTATATTTATTCATTAATGAATGGGAAAAAAAGAAAGTGACATTGATCTTTCTTTCAAAATGTTTTAGTGGGATTGTATTAACAATAAAATTAGAGCAAGCGATTGACATTGATAGCTCAAAGCAAGGTCTAAGATCAATTCGAAGCCATTATAACCATCTTTTAGAACATAAATTATGTAATTTTAAACAGACATCAATCTAACATAAAATCAATTGGTAATAAGTAGAGTAATTATTATATTTATAATAAGTCGACTTATTATAAAGAATGTATTGTTTTATAATAGTGTCTTGTGTTGAATAAGTTGGGAGATTCCATCTCTATGCAAGTATTTTTTTTAAGTTTCTTCTCTTCTTACCTAATCATAAAGAAAAATGAGTATATTAAGACAACGAGACATTGTCTTAATGGTGCAGTCTCTGGAATGGTTCAACTTGCTTGGGAAATGTCTACCATGGCCAAACAATTTTATTAATTGCATTTGGAAGAACCATAACTTTTTGAAAGTATGCCTTTTGTCCAATGCAATGAACCAAATTTCTTACTCGAGATGATCTTACCCTCACTTGACAATGACGGCAACCCTTTGTATTCATTGCCTTTCTTCAATTACCAAATAGTTTTAGTAAAGAAGAGAAGATCATTGCACTTAATCGATTACATATATCGAATTAACATGTCATAAGAAAGTTAAATTTTTCGAAAATAACATGGAACTAACATGGCATAAGAACGTTAAACTTTTTGAAAGTAACATTAAGTATGATAAAATGTTAAATCAATGTTTGCATTGAGTCAAAATTGCTTCAAATTTTGCATACCATCAAGATTGCTCGACAACAACAAAAGTAAATGGTTTAATTTCTTTTGCAGATTCACAATCATTGGTCACTTTTTATTTATTGTATCAAAATTAGTTTTTCGATAATATAATAATTATATTATATGTAAATAAAAGAATAAATTTTTTTTTCAAGGCTCATAAATGACTTAATATAATGAAGCCTAATGATTAATTGGTATGCAAAAAAATTAATAACGATAAACAAAAATATAATGAAACCCAATGATTGATTACATCTTGTATTAATGAAATCAATCTACTAAGTATTCATCCTCATATAATAGGATTATTGGTCTTCTGTAAAGAATTTCTACAACAAAATTTTATGGAAGCAATCTAAAATTTATTTGAACAACAAAAGGAGAATTTAACAAAAATGGTTACATCTTAAAATTGTTCTATTTTTCAAAATTAGAGTTCTATTTATAATAAAATAGACATCTCTTTATAAAAAAAATCACTATCCAAATAAATGTATATTTGTATAGATATATAAGTTCAAATATGCATCTATTTAGACATATACAAATTTTTAAACATAACTCTTAACAAATAATCATATTTTTTTAAAAAAAAATAATTTTTTTACCATCACAATGTGATATGTTATTATTGAAAATATTCCAATATCTTTGGACTCATCACACTTTGGATAGGGAACGAATTCTGTCTAAAATCCAACCCAAACCCATAAATATCTTTTTTTTTTTGTTTATTTATAAAGGTAGGGGGAAAGGAAGGGAGGGTGTTGCAGCTATTACATATAGATGTAGTGGATAGGTATATAGGGGATATTTAAAGGGAGTTTGAGGGGATGTTTTAAAATAATCAAAATTAACTAATAAAGGAAAGAGATGAGAAATAATTTCTTCAATTCAATTTGCATGTGATTTGTTAATAATTAGCGCAAGGAAAACAGAGGGATCAAACTTCTTAAAAATATCATCTATAATGTAATTTAAAAATTAACTCATACACCAATGGGGTTTTATATTTTCCAGCCAAATTTTAATAAATTTAAAAAATAAATATAATTTTAAAAATATATATATATGATAATATTTAATATTACGTTTGTGAAGTTTAAAAACTAAACTTTAATACAATTTTTGAAATTAATAAATATCTTCTAATATATAAATTAATCCTATAAATTAATAATTTTAATTTAATTAAAACAGGTTTAATTTTTGGAAATGCTGATATAATTAAACCTGAATTTCAATTTTACCCGTCTCAAACACTTATAAATAACGGCAGAAGCATAACAGAAAATAGAAAAACTAGCTGTGCAAGTTGCGGAAAGAGAGAGGAAACAAAGAATTTTGAAGGTAACCCCAAAACTGAAGCAGTCATGATCACACCAAACACTAATCATGTTCATCTTCTTTTTTTTTTTTTGCATTGAGCATTGAATCAGATTCTCTTTCTTTTAGTATAGCTTTCTTTTTTTCATCAACATGCAAATATTGAATCTCCTTTGTATTTGTATTATAATTTTTATTCTTTTTTTTGTTTTCTTTTATTGAGTAACAGGTTTTGTTTCTGTTAATTGGATTGATAACAATGGATGAAGATTTGGACATTGAAGCTGAAACCAAGGCTGAAGATCAAATGGAAGCCACTGCCATCTTTAAGAATACAAATCAGCCTGTCATTTTAAAGGTATGCATATTGTTTTAGAAGTGTTTCATTGAATAAAATATTGGAAAATTTAGCTTTGATGGAGAAAAAATAAATTTTCTGTACAATTTTATAATTAAAATAACATCTCTATGTTTACTGGGAATTAATAGGCATTGTAATGAGCTAGGGATTATTTTACAGTTTGTTGATGTTGTCTATAAAATCAAGCTTCGGAAAGTAGGTAATTGGTTTCGAAAAAATTCGAGTTCGGATCAAGAGAAAGTGATCTTAAATGGGATCACTGGAATGGTTCAACCTGGTGAAATGTTAGCTATGCTTGGTCCATCAGGCAGTGGCAAAACAACCCTGTTAACTGCATTAGGAGGCCGCCTAGGTGGGCGGCTCAATGGAACTATAACATACAATAGCAAGCGTTTCTCCAATTCGATGAAACGAAATACAGGGTTTGTGACTCAAGATGATGTTCTATACACTCACTTGACAGTGACTGAAACACTTGTATTCACTGCCCTTCTTCGATTACCGAATAGTTTTACTAAACAAGAGAAGATCATGAATGCTGAAGCTGTAATCACTCAACTTGGACTAATTCAATGCAAAAACAGCATCATTGGAGATCCATTTTTGAGAGGCATTTCAGGAGGGGAGCGAAAAAGGGTTAGTATAGGTCAAGAAATGCTTATAAATCCGAGCTTGTTGTTCTTGGATGAGCCTACATCGGGTCTGGATTCAACTACAGCTCAAAGGATTGTGTCAACGTTGTTGGATCTTGCTCAAGGTGGAAGAACAGTTGTGCTGACGATACACCAGCCATCGAGTAGGCTATTTTATATGTTTCATAAGGTTTTGCTGCTGTCAGAAGGTAACCCTTTGTATTTTGGACAAGGATCAGCTGCTATGGATTATTTTTCCAGCATCGGTTATGCCCCATCAGTTGCCATGAACCCTTCAGATTTCTTATTGGATCTCGCAAATGGTATGTGTTTAATCTTATTTGCACATTCATCTCACTTATATTAACAAGTGCTTAAACTGATTTTTGTGTAGGACAAGTTTTGCATTCATCTTTGTTAATTCCTTCCGATAGCATTGAAATTTAATTTGGATTTAGTACTAAATTCCGTGTTGATTGAGTCCATTCATCCGTTTAGAGCTCATTTAGATTCCATCATACCAGACACCTCACTATGCAATTGAGGGTTTCAATTGCATTGTCCCTCTACCTTAGGGGAAAAGAGTTTAGTATGACAATCACCTATCTTAGTGTAAAATTAAAAAGTAATAATATTTTTCAACTATGATAATTCATTATCTTTAATGGAACAGTCAACTATCATACTTAACTTCTTTATCATGTTAGGATTCTTTTATATATATCTATATAATTGATTTTTAATATTATCATTACAATATCTAATTTTATTATTATAATAATTAATCTTTCCACTGTCATTAATTTTTATCTCACCAAAATTAATTTGACAAACCCTTGATAAATTGGGTTGGTACTTGGTCCGGGTAGATTTTTTAATTGGAAACATTCAAACATAGCTTCCAACGTACAAGTTTATTAATGTCTGAGGAAAAACAATCCTGTAATGCCTGGGAAATCGGACATGCATTGGAAATGATTCCAATCTCTAGCAGAAGAAAAAGGAAGCCGAACTGTCTGATTCCTAATTCGACAAACTTTCTCTAACTGTCTAACACCTCAAGCCTATATTTGTTCAGAACATTAAGTATAACAGGTCTACTTTTATTCTTTTAAAATGTCACAGATTTGTACATTTAATACAACAGACTCGATAAATTGTTCTTCTCTACAGGTTTGACCATTCAATTTCAAATTATTTTCCTGTTTCAAGTTTCCTTGCATGGTTTTTTCAACTCTGTCTTTCATTATTGACTCTGACACTTTGATATATCAGTAACATAGCTTTTCTTATCTAATTTTAGTGCCTGCTTATTTTAGTTCCCTATCAGCTTTAATATTCACTCTCTTCTAAGTTGCTTCGATCCAAGCAAGATAGTAACTCTTTGCTAACTACTATATCTATTAATACTGAGTAAATCCTCATAAATATGAAATGGGGGATTGATGCTACATAGAAAAAAAAATCTCGAATAATAATGAGTTAAATTTGTAGAATATCTAAAAAAATGTGTAACACCCTCAATCCATTTGGAAATTGTGAGATTATATATATATACACTTGGATTTATATTTATGAAGTATTTTTTATGAAAAAAATTATGAAATTTTTTAATTAAAATAAACAATATTTTATGGATGCAAATCACCGCAATTAGTATTAGATTACCAACCGAAAGTATGTGAGCCACTTTCAAAATACTAATAAGTGAAAGTTAGGCGCTACACAAAGTCACTTCTAAAATTTTAATGCTTGGTCTAATCCTAATTATATGTAGAAATAGACAGGAGCAAAAAATTTTAATAGGGAGATATTGTAACATCCAATCTCATATTGAGAAATTGTGAGGATCTTATAAATATATATGTAGAGATTTGAAATCATACTTATGAATTATTTTTAAAACCTTCAAATCAAAGTGAATAATTTTTAGTAAGTGGGGTATGGATCTCCACAAAATGCATTTTTATTTAAATTCTTACTCAAATATACATAAGCACTCAATTTTAAAGAATAAACTACTTTACTGACTACTACTCTTATGATTAAGCTTATTACTTTAAGTAAATATCAGCAGATTGAGTCCTCTTATGTTGCTTTTGCAATTTATTATCATTATTTAAAAAAAAATTCACAAATGTAGGTGTTTCATCAAATGATTCACTAAAGGAGCAAACCCTGGTGAAGAAAACACTAATTTCTGCCTACAAGAGCAAAATTGCTGAGAAATTAAAGGATGAGCTTCAGGAAATCAGCAATCACCCTCCTGATGAATTGGAAAACAAGAAGTTTCCAAGGTGGGCTACAACTTGGTGGCAACAGTTCATTATATTGCTTCAAAGGGGAGTAAAGGAAAGAAAGCATGAATCATTCTCTGGCTTAAACATTGCTGAGGTCCTGGTGGTAGCTGTCCTTTCAGGTTTGTTATGGTGGCAATCTGATATTGCTCACTTGCAGGACCAGGTAATTAATATCTCCCAATCACTTTGGATCCATTAAAATTCAGCTTGATTTCCTTTGAACGGATGCACAAACTATATAATCCACATTGAAATCAGAAAGTTGTTTCTATAAATAAATTAATAATAATTAGCCTTTTATTGATTGACATACTAAGTAAAATTAGCAATTCGTGTATCTGTGTTTCTGATTATTTTATATCAAATATGTGTAAAACATGAAAATTACCGTATCATAATTCGTATTTACATGTTAAACATAAAACACATTTTTTTTATCGTTTTTGTATTTTATAACCATGTCCTATCTGCATACAACCTTTGGATGAGTATATATTAACAGGATGAAGTACTCCTTTTAATTTGGAAACATGCAGATTGGACTCCTCTTCTTTTCTTCAGGATTTTGGGGCTTTTTCCCCCTATTCCGAGCAATTTTCACCTTCCCCCAGGAACGAATGATGCTTGAAAAGGAACGGTGTTCAGGAATGTACAGGCTATCCTCATACTTCATGTCAAGAACCATTGCTGATCTCCCCATGGAGCTCATCCTTCCCACTGCTTTTGTTACAATAACATATTGGATGGCAGGACTTAAACCCACAGCAGGAAATTTCCTGCACACCTTATTTGCTCTTCTTTTCTGTGTCCTAGTCTCTCAAGGCCTAGGGCTAGCCCTTGGTGCCATGGTCATGGACCAAAAATCAGCAACCGTTCTTGGATCAGTGATCATGCTTACTTTCTTACTCGCCGGCGGGTTCTATATTCAACATGTTCCTGCTTTCATTTCATGGATCAAATACATTTCCGTTAGCCATTACACATACAAACTCTTCTTGGGGTCTCAATACAAGCCAAATGAAACTTACCCTTGTGGTAATGATCCTGGAAAGGTTTGCTTGGTTGGAGATTTTCCATCTATAAAAACTGTTGGCCTTGATGGGCAAGTCCTATCTGCTGTTGCCTTGGCCATAATGCTTGTAGTATACCGGCTGATTGCTTATTTGGCCCTCATGAGAATTGGGGTGACCAAAAAGTTAGAGAAATAGCTAAACCTTTTCCATTATGCGTAAAACCAAGAGGGAAACATGCATGAATTAAATTAGAAATGTCATTGTCTTTCATTTTTCTTTTTCATGTTGGTGGCTTGTATACTACACATGGATGAGAAAAGAGAGAGAATTTTGTATCATTCCAATGATTTATCAAGTTAAAGAAATTCGCATTCGAGCATTTCACTCAAATGGTTGTTGCATGATTCTCGATTCAAAGAGTAGAGTTCGAATCCGACTTTCCAAAATTTAAAAAAAAAATGAGTTAAAGAAATTCGCACTCAAACAATATTTCACTCAAGTGGATGATGCATAATTCCCTACGAGATCGAAACTCCTTTCTCATGACAACCACAAAACTTGAATCTCTTATTCGCTATTCCCCAATTGTTGGCCTCCTGGTGGACGAACGTGGCCAATGTCATAGCTAAACATGGAAAATGCCATGTTACTCTGTCATGATTGTGGCTATATCAGATGCACCCGGGCAGGCATGAGAGATAGGTTTTCTCTTAACTTTTTTTTTTTTTGTCCCATATTATTTTAGCCACAAGTACAAGACATATAAGGAGAATGTGACAGGGTTTGTATGGAATTTTATTTTATCTCAGATTTGTGTATTTTGATGGAATTTTATCTGTGTATGTCTTTTCAAGCACAAATAAATGGAATATTCTTCTTTCTAGATGGAAAAGAATAGCAACTTTGCATATTGATAGAGAATTAAAGATCCTCCTATTTTATTTTTGTGGAAATTAATTTTATTATATATATATATAAATAGATACACATATATATTTGTATTAATATCCTCCTATTTTATTTTTGTGGAAATTAATTTTATTTTATATATATATAAATATATATACACACACATATTTGTATTAATATCAAAAATTAATTTTCTTTTCGGAAAAACTATTAATCTGAAATTTCGCCTTAAGAATTTCAGGACACAGGGTACTAAAATTTTTAGTGCAAATTTTTTCCAGTAGTCAAAAATATCCCGTTCTCTTGTAATGTTTTATGCGATAACTTTACACCCAATAAGCCATCATTTCATCTTACACCATTAAAACCACATTCATGAATAATATATAGTAGTTATGAGGAGCCATTATTCCTTGGATTGGTTCGCATGTCATTTAAGTTGGCATTTGAATATTACCAATTATAAAAGTTTATACATGTAATTACCTCTTCAGTTATATAAATAATAGGGTATGGGAGATTTTAAGGGTAGATTAAGAACTTTCAAAAAAAAAAAAAAAGTAATTATGGGGATAGATGAAAAAGAGAAGATATTGGATTTGTGGCTGACAGATATATAGACATTACTTGAGATTTATTTGTGGTGGCTATCTTCTAGTTGCTTGAATGGAAGCTTTCAATTTTATGATGCTTTTAATAAATTATCTTTGCCAAATAGCTTGGTCTATGACAAAGACAAAAGAAATTGTCTTGATTTTCAAAAATGGAAAGTGATTGTATTTGCCAATTGATTGCCAAAGTGAGCTTGAATCCAAGCACAAGAGAAAGCAACAACTAAATTGCACTGTGCAAAATTCTTCATCAGGTAGTGCAAAACCTAGCCCCTAATGCTGCCTTGTTTGCCTTTCTTTGAGCTCTAGATGTTAAGTCACACCCTATATTATGTTCATCTGTAGCTTTCCAATATGAAAATGAAATCCAATTTTATGAATTGAAAGGTTGAATGAAATGGCTCCTCCTTAGACCCTCTCGAAACACTGAATTGAATCTGAAAATTGTTTCAGTAGAGATTGATATGAACACGCAGTTAGATCATTTGAATCAGAACAAAGCCTGTCTTTTCTTCAAGTTAATGTAGTGTGTTATGTTAGAATTCATATTAAATTAAGATAGGTTCTATAGGAGGAGAATTCATTTTACTTCCAACTTTGCTATAAAAATGTAAAGATAATAATCTAGAAATTAATGCAAGGTAGACCTTGTTAAAGTTAAACTACATCTGCTGGAATTGGCAGCCATAAACATAATTCAGACAAGAAAAGGAAGCAAGAAACTGTTATATATGTTCCTTTGCTTATAAATGCACCTAATTTCTTTGCAAATTAAGTTCATTTTTCGTGCCCCGATTTGAAATTATAATAAGAAACCAAAAAAATAGGCAATTATTTCCTTTGCAAATGATTGTTCCTCAATTTTCTTTTACACATACAAATTAATTATTAGTTGATTAATTCCATTGTATTTATCTAATTCCATGTCCCTAGCACACTAAAAGGAAAAAAAAAGTTCTGACTTTTTTATTCGCACAAAAAATTGATATTTTGCAACGACTTTAAGAGTTCATAAAACCCCATTTTCTAGTAGTGATTTGATATTGATTTTAGAACTAATGCTACCTGTCAGGCTATATCTAAATAACCTTAATACACTAACAACTCAAAGATTTTGTTTTAATTCACTCAAAGGAACAAGTACAAACTTTTCTTTCCATTTTCTTTAGGTTTTCAGTCAGTTTCATTTTGTACAGTCAATGCTCAATATAGACTTGGATTTGCATGAAATTGAGATTTGAACTAAAGCCCTAATACGCTATCCTTGCCAATTTAGTAAGAGTTTGCAAATATTTAGCTTGTGCAGTAATGGAACAAAATTAACAAAGTTCATTTGACACTTCAACAATTTAAATTAAACATCTAATTAACGATTGATAAGATCGATTTCACGCCATGATTTGTCGTGTTTAAGATTCAATCATCCAAATCAAACCTAGATCATGCAACAGAACATTATCCAACATATTTGGATTGTTTTGACATCTAATCTAGCGTGTAAGCATCAAATTTCGGCTTTAAGCCTCAAGAACAACATGGGGAAATTTGAACTCCGCCAATATTTTTTGATATTAGAATCTTCATCCAAAGTTCATATATGCAATCACTAATTATATTGTCCACAAAAATGATAATGATTCAAATCGAATTGAATTTGATTTAATTTTTTTAGATATTATATAATATTATAAATTTTTAAAATTTGATCCGAATCCAAACTAACTTTTTATATGACCCAATCTAAATCGAACCGAATTTTTTTATTCAATTTGGTTCAGTTTAGTTTATCGATTTTTTTAAATTTTTTTTGTTTTTATATATTATTTTAATATGAATTTTTAATATATTTAAATAGATTTTGATATAAAATTATTGATTTTTTTTTTACAAAAATTTAAAAAATATAACTAACAAAAATATATAATTCAGTTTGATTCAATTTTTTTTAATTTTTAATTTTTCAATATGAAATTCAATCTAAAACTAATATATACATTTAATTTTTGAATTTAATGTAAATCGAATAAAAAAATTATCCAAATTAAACCAAATATTATAGTTTTAAATCAATTTTTTATTTTTTCAATCTAAACCCTACTCATCTATATCTTTGACCCTTTTTATCTTTCATTGTAAGCAAATTTATGCACTATAAACATAGATATAGCTAGCTTGCATGTGTGTGACAAGCAATCAAGGAAGATGAAATCCAGGCGAGTCACATATTGCCACGTTTGAAACAAAAAAGAAAAAAAAAAAGAAATTGCTCTATGACATTTTCATTCAAATCATCATTTAAATTTTGTAAAAGGGTGTTGAAATTTGGTCATTTCAAGTCATCCAAGACTTAGTGTATTGCTATTATTGATCAGATTCATGGTATATCATATAGAAATTGAAACAACCCTAGCCATATTTCTCCCAGTTTTCATCTTAGAAACGCAAGCTCTCATGCCTTCTTTCACTTTAATATTTTCTCGATAGCGATCGATGGATATTAAAGTTATTCTCTACCAATAGTACATACATATGATATTAAGAAATTAAATTTGAAGTCAACGTTTTCCTCTCGCGGTTTCAAACTAGAGTTGACACATGAAATTCGTTTACTGTACCAAATTCATGATTATATATATAATTAAATTAATTTTTCGATAGCTTATGGATGATAATAATATCTATGCCAACTAACAGTTTGTAGAACCCATCACATGTGATAAGGTCATGCAATTGTGACATTGTTGAAATCTGTTGGAAGGAGGAGGAAATAATGCCTTTCTTGTGGCGTAATGCTCGGTGATGGTGTCGGTATGAACTTGTTTGGCATCAAATCCCCCATAGGAAAGGATGATGGAAGGGAAAATTAAAAAAATATATGCCAAAAACATTGAACGAAAATTTTTATAGAAAATGAGAAAGATAATGTGTTAAAATACCTAAAAAGGAGGACTTTTTTCAAAGATGTTGTTTGGTTCTAAAGCAAAGGGAGCTATCATGAAAAGTAAGGCATGATAACTACATCCAAGAATATGGAAAATTGAAAAAATTGCCAAATTTCACAAGATGATCCCTTTTGTGCTTAATTTACATAGATGGGGATAAATTTAATTTGCTTCACCAAAATTTTGAATCGAGACAAATAGAATCGAACGCATATATCATACTTATACGTAATTAGTAAAGCGTAAAATCTATCTTACTAGAAATTACTTCATTAGTTACACCATGCTTTTTTGGATTACAAGAAATATTTAAACAAGTTAAATTAATTAAACCAGGTTCATGTATGTATATATCATTTGAATTTAGCTTATGAGATAAGGAATTGAGTTTAAGACGCATGAGTTTGTACTATATCATGCATGTTTCTTGCTTAATCACTTTGACTCAATATAAGCAGCATAAATGTTTGAAAAACAGGACATATGCACGGCTTGTTTAGATGATCTAGGAAGAGGGTTAAGGCTGGCCGGTTACTTCGATTAAAACTTTCAATACACTTTTTAATTTGTAAAGAACCATCCAAAATATTGTAAAACTACATATGGTGTAGAAGGTGATCGTGGGGAGTTTGTGAAACAAGTACATAAGCACATGGAGATTTACCTTTTTTCCACATAGAAAAAATCAAGGGGATGTTGGGTTGACAACAGAAAGAGAGAGAAGATAACTAGTAACATGATTTGGTAACATATCATCTCTTGGCCATTAACTTAAGGCTTATGCAACTCACATGGAAGACTATAGCAAGAACATTGATCACCCATGTTCTGAAAAAGAAAATTTTTCAATTATTGTAGAAAAAATTCATTTTATTATTTGAGATTTAAATTTTAATACCTACAGCTCCTTTTTCATCTTTATGTTATGTTCTCTTTTGTAAAAAATATATATATATGCATTTTGTTCAACGAAATTGACATTTTTGAGAAATTTTTTAGATTTAAAGTTTGATATAGGCAATTTCATAGAAAGCAAATTCGGTCCTGTTTGTCTTCATTTCATTATACCATTCCTTTTGCTGTTTACTTTGTTTTTGTTTATTTTTGGAAAAAAAAAATTATGCTTGAATACAAATGAAAATTTCTTGGAGAATTCAAAGTTAAAAATATTGATTATCAATATTTTACTTTATAGAAAATCATGATTTTTTAAAGTGTACTACATTAAATAATTAATTACAACCATTTTCTTGAATATGGCCCTTTTTTTTTGTAAGTTTAATATGACTTTATTTTTCACTATATCATTACTTTTTAATAGTAACTTTAGAAGAAGCAAAACAAAATGAAGCCCTAATTATGAATTCAAAATTTAATTTAGTTTATCCATTCATGTTTAAAAAATGGCATTAAACAATTTGAAATAAAAATCTAACCACCTACAATCTCTTCTGTTATTATCAAATTATGACCTCTTTTATTATAAAAAACGAAACCCTTAATTGCATTAAAATAAATTTGATCACTATCTAAATAGATTTCATAGACTAACTGTCCTCTTTATCCATTTTAGTAGTAAGGAAAAAAAGCATTCAATTTCATTTACTTTTATTGAGCATAATAATTAATGTTTAATAAGACCCACAAATTCAATTGAAGGTAAGGAAAAAAAAGCATGCAATTTCATTTACTTTTATTGAGCATAATAATTAATGTTTACCCACAAATTCAATTGAAGGTGAAAGAAGATAAGAATAGCAATTATACATTTCTCGCTATCTTTTTTTTTTCTTTCATTTTTTTAACAACATAGACTTATTTAACTCTCATTATCATTTCTAAAGAGAATTAACATTCGAAAGTTGAATCACATTATTCATTTGGATTTTCTCATATAATTTACCCAAAATTAAATTAAAAATTATTTTTTTAATATTTTTTATATATTATGTAACTAGAAATCAAATTACTCCAAGTTAATCAAAATTCACAACACCTCCATTAAAAATGATAACGGCTTAGATAAGATTGAATTTAGTTTGATTTTTTGGATAATATATAGTATTATGAATTTTTAAAATTCAATCCGATCAAAATCAACCTTGTTGTGAAACCGATCCGATCCAAATTGAATTTTATCGGTTTGGTTCGATTTGATTTATCAATTTTTATATTTTATATTTTTATATTTTATATATTATTTTAATAACATTTTTAATATATTTAAAATTTATATATAAAATAATTATTTTTAGTTTATAAAAATTTAAAATATATATAAATTAATAAAAAATATATATAACTTGGTTCGGTTCTTTTTTTTTTATTTTTCACATATCGATCTAAAATCCGATCCGAACTTAATTATACATTTAATATCCAAATTTAATCAAAACTAAATAAAAAAAATCAATTCAAACTAAACTAAAAATTTCGAATCGATTTTCAATTTTTTCAATTTTTTTCTCATCCCTAACTTCCATTATATAATTATGAGGCCAAGACACAGTGGAAAAAATCAATTTCTTCTGATTGGATTAGGATCAAACAGATTCTCAGAGCTATTGTGATGTGAAAATCATTCAAAATGTGGAGTAATAGTGAGATCCACAAAATCAGACAAAATATTAGAAAATAAATTTATTTGTGGGGTTGCATTGAGATCTTATATATATCACTTGTAGGAATTTTTAAGGATCAATGTTCGTCCCTCACATGCTTTTTTGAATTTTCAGTAGTGATTTTGGGAAATTTTGGAGAGCAAATCTGGCTGCTACAAAGAAATTCCAATTATGGCAACCCATACTTTAACATAAGACAATTTTTTGGACCATTTGCAGTTATATACCTTTGCTAACACCATGCCTTTTTTTTCATGTTGCAAGGCTTTAACATACTTAGTTGATTGGTTACACTCTTGGAGTAGTTTTTTTTTATTAGTTTCTTTTAATTATGGACACTTAATTATTGGTCTTTAATATAAAAAGGTAAATTTTAGCAACGTTTTGTGAATATTATCCTAATAGATTCAAATTTAAAAATAAAAAAAAAATTATAAGTGTTAGATTTTGAACTTTATATTTATTGAATACCATTTTTTAAATATAATTACATGAATTAATTAAATTGAGCTTTAAATTCGTGTTCCTTCATTTCATAAGTCATGTTGTTTCAAGATCAAGTAGTTTCAAATAATAATTATTCACATATATCTATATATATATATATATATATATATTATTCCATTTGTGCTTAATTGAAGTAGATGGTAAGATAAAACAACTCAAACCTTATCAATGGATTGTTATCTTTCCTTAAAAGGATTAAGATAAAAAAAAATTGAATCTATTTTCTCCCTTAGAGTACTTTCTCATAATAAATAAATAAATAATATGGTGAGATAAAGATAATATTTAATATCAATTGTGGAGGTTGAAAATTCGATCGACAATACATAAAAAATCAATTCAAAATAGTGTCTCGAAAATTAACTTAGGTTAAAAGAAATATTTTATTTCGAGTCAAAAATATTAATATTTGAGTCACATCCCCTACCACAGTTTTTGATGAAAATGATTAAACATGTTAAGAAAATAAAATGATTAAAAAAGCTTTGAATCTTTGTAAGCAAAACATTAAATTAAACATTTAAAACAATTTTTTTGGTATATAAATAATTTTTTAAAACAATGATTCTTGTGAGAAATTGCTAAGACATGAACTTAATGGAGCATAGTCATGGTCTTAAAATCTTATTGTACCATCCTCTTTTCTTTAAATCCCTTTCCTTTTTTAAAAAGGAAAAAGGAAAAAAAAATAAAAGGAAGGGGATCCATTTTTTATTAAGATATTTCAAATCAATGTTTAATATTGTTGTTGTGAATAATTAAGAGTCAATATCATGAATAATTTTTAAATTATAGTAAAATATATAATATGATATTTAAATTTAAAAAATTTATAATATAATACCTAAACTATAAATTTATTAATTAATATGATATTTTAAGGATTGATTGTTCATATCACATATCATACGTTTAAATTAATTACATTAAAAATAAATATCATATTAATTAATAAATTTATAATTCATATATCATATTAAAAAAATTTTAAATTTAAATATTATATTAAAAATTTTATTATAATTTAAAAATCATTCTTTACGTTAATTCTCTAATTAAAGATGTGGTAGAAAATTAAAAAGATTAGGTGAGTAAAGCCATAGATGCCATTAGAATGATTTTCCCATTCTCTCCCTATCGTTTCTAAATAACTGTATAATGTGAGATGAGCTGTAGGAAATGGAGATTTGAGATTGTGATTGTGGTGATTAATGTGGGTTTTAACTGCTGATGAAAAAGAAATGGTCTACAAGAAGTGACACTTGATGGATACTTCATGAAACCAGCATTTTGACCCCACCTAGCCATAGTTCCCAACCTCCCCCTTGTAAGTGGGGGAGAAAGATCAAGCTTTTAGCCATTGAAAAAAACAGTGAAATACCTGTTAATTAGATATGTGATGTTAATTTATTATATTTCTCTTACATTAAATACATATAAAATATAAAATTATTTTATTATAATTTATATTAATATATTAAATATGAAATATATATTTTATTTTTATAAAATTCATATTTAATTTTCAATAAAATTTTAAATTATATTTTTATTTTTTTTCGCTCCCCTCCAATTCTCCCATAAAGGAATGAAGTAAGAAATGATCTTGTTTCGTTAACATTAAGGCCATGGAACAATGTTTAGGGAAATATTAGTGCCTTTAATTTACATATGCATCTATTTTTATTTATAATTAAATAATTTTAACATACATAATTATTAAATTTAAAATTTAATTCAATTAATTTATTTAAATTTTTTAACTAATTCATGATTTTATTATTTTTTTATATTGGAACTGAAAAATGAATTTTTGGTGGTGGGATTTGCATAGCAAAAGCATGACATCTAAAGCGTAAAGATTGTTAAATGTCCCACCCCACATTCGTCCCTCCCTATTACTCTTTTTGTTGCCTTGCGTGGGGAGTGGTCCCCACCCCCACTCCTGTCCCACGTGTCGATCCATTAAAGGGTCGAGCCTCCTCAGTTCACGTCATATCATTATCACCCCCGCTACCTACCAACCACTGCATGTCTTTTGTCAACCTGCTGTTCTTGGATTCAATTAGAGGCGAGTAATCGATCCATTTCGATTAATCCGATTTTAGTCAGTCAATTAATTCGATTATAAATTAATTTTAAAAGAAATTGAATCAATTGATTAAAAAAATAAAAATTAAAAAAATCAAAACAAAATAAATTAATTGATTTTTTTTAAATTTTTTAATTTTAAATAGATACAAAAATAATTTATAAAATAGGTCAATTTATTTAAAAAACAATTCATTTATTTGTAAAATGAATCAATTTTTTAAAAAATAGATCAATTTATTTATAAAAGTTTATTTAATTTTTTATTTTTTTAATCAATTCGTTCATAATTTTTAAAACCCTAAACCAAGATTACACCCCCTAAATTAATCACTCAAACAAAAAAGCCGCTAAATCCAAAAAAACTGACCATGATTTAATTAAATTTCCATTTTTGGTTTTTTTTTTTTTAATGAAGCTGACTAATGCTTAAGCTAGATTCAGCTGATCAAAGCATGGTTTATCAACATATGAAATGACTATACTACCCTTGAACCGTCACGTGGCATGTCGGGATTAGGTGGATTATATAGTAACAGAATTAAACCATGGCCCCACCTTTCGTAGTCTTTTGTTCTATGCCCATTTAAAAGAATGGTGATGCCAACTCTATGCAATATTTTTCAGCAGCCCATGATATTCTTCTTCTCTGGTAAATCTGCAGAATTCAAAGTAAAAAATTTCTCAAATTCATCACTGAATTAACATTATAAAGGTGCAGAAATGGAGAGCACTGACTCGTCGACAGGCTCCCAGCAGCCTAATCTCCCACCAGGATTCAGGTTCCATCCCACGGATGAAGAACTAGTTGTACACTATCTCAAGAAAAAGGCTACCTCAGCTCCTCTGCCTGTTGCAATCATTGCAGAAGTTGATTTGTATAAGTTTGATCCATGGGAATTACCAGGTAAAAGGAAGCATACAGGAAAAGAGAAAAAGAAAGTGAAAAGTGCATATAGATTGATCATTTGAGTGTCACATATTTACATATGACTATGATGAATAATCTTTGAATTTGTTTGGGGTTTCAGCTAAGGCCACGTTTGGTGAGCAAGAATGGTACTTTTTTAGTCCCAGAGACAGGAAGTATCCGAATGGAGCGAGGCCTAACAGGGCGGCTACTTCAGGTTACTGGAAGGCTACCGGAACCGATAAGCCGGTATTGACCTCAGGAGGGAGTCAAAAGGTTGGTGTGAAGAAGGCACTGGTGTTCTACGGTGGGAAGCCCCCTAAAGGGATCAAAACCAGTTGGATCATGCATGAATATAGGCTTGCTGATAATAAAACTAACAACAAACCCCCTGGATTTGACTTGGGCTACAAGAAAAACTCACTAAGGGTAATCACTTTTGTCAGGTTTACTCAGTTTATGGTTATATCAAGAATTGATTGTTTGAAAACTGATTGGTTTACTGATGAGAAGTGCTTTTGTTTTTTTGCTTTTGGTTTATAGCTTGATGATTGGGTGCTATGTCGAATCTATAAGAAAAACAACACACATAGACCTCTGGATCATGATAAAGATGACTCCATGGATGACATAGTTGGGCCAGTACCACCTTCAATATCAATTGGTAGCCAACATAATGCAAAATTTCAATTCCCAACAAAGGGCGAAAGTTTTGGCACATTGCTTGAAAATCAAGAGCATAGCCTGTTTGAAGGCACGATGGGCAGTGATGGGATTAACAATGGTTCTATGTGTCAGCTGGGATGTTCAAGCTCAAGGCCAGTCCTGTCTATGGTTAATCCTGTCAAAAGGACTCTCCCATCACTTTACTGGACGGATGAGGACACAGCGGGTCCTTCTACAAGCAAGAGATTTCATGGGGATATCAATGATGGAAGCATGGAGAAAACAGATGGGAATGGTTCAATTGCCACTCTGCTTAGCCAGCTGCCACAAACCCCTCCATTGCAGCAACAGACAGTGCTGGGATCAATTGGAGATGGGATTTTTCGGCCTCTATACCAACTTCCAGGGTTGAACTGGTACTCGTAATTCAATTCCAAGTAGTGGGTATTCCATAGATATACCATCTATGCCTTAAAGAAAAAGTTCAAAATCAAAATTTTCAAGTAGCTTGGAAGCTATCAGTGTCATGTGACATACTTGTTGATACAGTCACCAATAGTGATGAAGCATTTGGATTGGGATAAATTTCGAGATTTTGAATGTTAGGGAAGATGTTAGAAAACAGTACTTCACTAGATGAGCCAGGCCTCAATGTTTCTTTGAGTGTTATAGGTAGCTGCCAAAATTTTATCTCTTGAGGCCATAGACATAGGTAAATTTTATAATATATAGTTATATATATATAAATACATATATATATATATATGTATATAGTTTGTTGTTTATTATGTATAGATGCAAAGAAGAAAAAAAGAAAAGGGGGAAATGAGGAAGGTGGAAACTTGCTGTAGAAAAAAAAAATAAAACTAATGGAATGATGATTATAAAATATTTTGCTCTAGGAAATATACAATATTGAAATCCTAGTTGTTGTAGAACTTTATTGTTGATGATGGTGCACATTTTGAGAATGTATTGGTTATGGTTTGTCTAAATCAAAGTATCTGTTTCATCTATTGGGATCACTCCATGAACCCTAGAAGGTAAAAAAAAAGCCTTTAAATTCTTTTTTCTTTTTTTTTTTTCAATCATTTTTCCAGCTAGCCAGGTTTTTGAATAATCAATGTGATTATAAATATATATATATATATATATATATATTGAGGGAGGACAAATGAATCTCAATTCAAAGCTTTCCCACATCTTAAAAGAGGATAAATTATTAATATCTATATATATCTTATTAAATTGTACAATTATTTTCTCATTCAATTTCTTTATTGAATCTCAACGAAAATAATATTATTGGTTAATAATAATAGAACATACTTCACTAAGATTAATATATAGATTTGAATTCCCAATAATTGGTTGATAATTAAGAGCTAAAGCATATGAAGAAATATTACTATTTATAATCAATAAGTGGTTGGTTTAATTAGTTAAGATTCGTTATTTTTAATGAAAAGTTCTTGAGTTCGAATTTTATCAATGATCGGTTATTGTGATTATCTCAAATGTACAACCTATAAGTGATATATTAAGTTGTCAAGTACGGTAAATCTTACACTCACCTAAAGATTTAGTAACTTATTTAGTCTAGATTTTTTTAAAAAAAATATTACTATTTATAATTTTTATTATTATTTCCATCATTGTGAAATACATATCAATCAACTAATTTAAATTTTAAAAATATTAATTTGTTTGTGGCAAGAAATATTATATTGTATTATATTATATTATATGAATTAATTGTTTTATATAAAAAATTGCTACACAAATCAGCCACAGTTTTCAAGCTTTCCTGTCAATTGTTGGGCTTTGAAAGCTATAATTATCTCTTTTCAGTTTTGAAGCTGTGATTCTTTTCCTTCACTTTCTTCTTTTCACTTGATAAAGATGGCTGATCTCCTCGAAAACGAAAGCTAACAATTTAAAACGTTTGAATAAAGAAAGAAAATGATTCTCTGTTTTGTTTTTTTGCCTTTTTCAAACAATGTGAAAATTGGGTTGGAGAGATCATAACTTAGGCCTTAAGTTTTGAACGCTAGGTAAGGCTGTGAGTAACATGAAAGTGAAATTTTCAAACCATTAACCAATTGCTAAGAGATACATCTCTCCCTTGAACAGTTTTTAACAATATCTCATTATCGTCGGTTGCTTTTAAATTTGATAATTTTAAATATAATATCATAATATAATATTACAAAAATTAAAAACTTTAAAATTTTAATAAATATTATATATGAATTTAGTAACAATAAAAAATATATATTTTGTATTTAATGTATCGATATAATTTATAATATTATAATTTTTATATTTTATATAAATTATTAAATATAATTATCATATATATATATATATGTTCATGCATAATTAATAAATGTTTAATAAAATAAAAAATAATTTAAATATAAATATTTAAAAACGTAATTAATTCGAGCAAAGTAAAAATGTGCATATTGAAATTTACTTAATAAAACTCACTCATAGTCTGTTTAAATTTGAAATTTCGAAAGTTGAATTTTCTTTTACTTATCTATAAAAAAATAATTCTTGCTTTAACCCAAAACTTTTTTTCTTTTTCTTTGTTTTATCTAAAAATAAAATAAAATAATGAGTGTGGGTGTCATTTTCTTTCATTGGATTGATAGGGCATAGCTAAGTATATTCCATGGCCTAGAGGTCACACAAATTGACAACAATAGGCTACCTCCCAAATTAATTTGGCCTTTTTCTCTTTGAGACTATGGGACCATTTGGTTATCATCAAAAGGAATCATTATCTCAAAACCACTCAAATTAAAAGCTCTTTAATTACATTCCTTTACAAGGAAAATGTACAAAACAACTTTATAAAATTTCATATCAATTAGTGATTAATTTTGGAATAAAAATTGAAAATCAATGAAATGTGTTATCATCTTAATTTGTGGACAATGCTATCACACAATTAAAGCCTAGAAATCTCCACAAATATGAGATTTTTCTACCATAATAATCTCTTTTCACATTCTTGTCCATTTACATAAAACATACATATATATATATATGAATAGATACAATGTATATACGAATACGTATAACATGTGCATATGTTTACGTACACGTATGAATCTACATGAATTTGACCTAATATTTGATAATAAAAGAGACTAACTTAAAATTAGATATTTAATTCAGTTGATTTATGTAATCATTTTTAAGATATAATATTTAATAAATTTGAAATTTAATTTTAGTACTTGCAATCTCTTTTATAAAAAAATGAATTTAATTATACAAAATGTGTAAATTTATATTATAGATTAGATTTTATATCAAAGTATTATCCGTGTCTTATGAATTCATTTGCTAAATTGAGATTTTATACATAATTAGATGTTGTCAGTGCAAAAGAAAGAGATATGGTTGTTGAATCATGAATGTTAATGAGGGGACAGTTTTTATGAAGAAACATTACCCATGATCTCCATCTAAACAAAAAATAATTTTTTTTAACAAGAAAGAGTGAAAAATACTTGATTCCTATTTGGATTCTACCACATCTTTAGTTGAATTCAAATATCAATTTCAATGAGATTAAATCAACATAAATATTTTATTAAACAAATTTTTAATCACAATTATAGTAATTTTTATAATTAATTTTAATCTTATCATAATTAATTTTATCATCCATCCAAATAGAACCTTAATAAAAAAAAAAAAACAAAAAAAGTGAGAAATAGGGAGGTTTTCATTTTCTTTCATCGATGAACCTACCAAAATGATTGGGTTTTCATTGATGAGACGGTATGTAGCCAACTAAAATTCTTTACAAATCTTAAGCCCATAATTCATTATTGAACTTGAAAAGCAGTCAAGTAGCATTTACAGCCTAATTAGGCCCTGACCCACAAATTGACACTTGATTCTGAGCTTTTCCAGGAACAAAATGCATCCTTGGACCATGGAGACTGTGTATTATAATTCAATGCCTATGCTGCTCATGGCCCTTTTTTCCTGGCACCGATTCCAATTACTAAAGTTTTTTTTTTTTTTAATTTGTAATTTACCCTTAACATCTCAATCCTATCTATTTAATTCATTTGAAAAACATTACGCGTTTAAATTCTCTAATCCATAATCTCTAAAAATTTATCTAACATGCATGTCATCTCTGAATTAATACTCAGTTGGCTGTCAATTAATTAAGTCAATTATTTCCGATTAAACAAATCAATTTGCCTTGATGATATACTTGTGCTTAAAAAGACAAGGAAATTCTAGAGAATTTCAGGATCTGGAAATCAGATACTAAAAAGAAAAAAAGATGATAGAATCAACAGTTGGAATTGGATATTAAAGAAAAAGGAAAGAAGGTTAGGATTTGCACAGCTGCTACAAGCTGGCAATGGGTTTTTCTTATGTGGTTTGGATGGATTTGTGGCAGACAGGTTAAGATGAGGAATGGATCTTTGCTGTCTTCATTGATGAAAAATGAGATAAACTCAAAAGTACTCACCATTAACACCATAGAATTTGATAGATTTGTGTTCCTAAAGAGAGATTATCAGCATTTAATATGTTTCTTCTTTCTGAAGTAACGAATTGGCCTAAGTGCAAATGCTTAATGATTATGACTTTAGTCATTTTCTTGTGAAAAAAAATCCTAGAAAAGTGAAGATAAAAAATTTTGACCCTTAGGCGAAGATGCTTGAACAAATTTAAGGGCATTTGGCAGCTTTATGGAAGAGATTTTCGTCATTGTGTCATTTTATAATTGAATCTGTTGATATCGGTAAAAATCTGAAAGTATAAGAAAGAAATCAGTTAATTACAAGGATTGAGAGCATTTTTTTATTAAATAAAAAAATGAAATCTGAAAGTTGAGACCCTATTTTGAAATTCGAAATCAAAATTAATGAAATGAATTTATTAAATAAAAGATTAATTACTTTTTATTGTATAACTTAAAACTCTTACATACCAAAAAGAAAACAATTTAACAAGGAAATATAGTAAATAAAACCTTTACAAGGCTAAAATTATATTAAAAGTTTGGTTTGGAAGTCAAAATTCAACAGTGGGGTTGGTTTAATGGTCCACCTCATTGAAAGAAGGGAAAAAAAAAAGGCAAAGGGTGTATAAACTTTCCTAGAGGATTTCTGAAATTTAATCAAACAGTTTTATCATTTTACTGTTGAATGAATTTGATTGTTTCCCTGCCAAATATGCATTTGTGGCTAAAAAAACACATGTAAAAATCCTTCCGAGTGTCAATAAAAGAAAAGCTATGGCAAAAATTTAAGATTAATAGATAAAATATCACTTTATTTTGTATAGTTGATTTATATAAAAAGATCTCTTAATTTATTTAGAAATGTCAATGGATAAAATATGGATAAAATAGAACATTCTTCATCCTCATCCTTAAATTTTTATATTATATTTATTTCTACATTCATATTCAATGGATATTTTAAATTTATTCATATTCTCATCCTCACGAGTATTTAATAGCTATGGATAATCTCATACCCATAAATTTTTTAAAAAATTAAAAATTTAGGTAATTTTTTATAAATATTTATATTAATATTTTTTTCAATAAAATATATTAATTTTAATTAATCTAAAATAATAATTTATATTATTTAATAAAAATATATTATTTAATCCCCATACCCATAATTTTTTAAAAAAATTAAAAATTTAAGTAATTTTTTATAAATATTTATATTAATTTTTTTTCAATAAAAATATATTAATTTTAATTAATCTAAAATAATAATTTATATTATTTAATAAAAAATCTATAAAAATAAATAAATATATATAAGTATATATTTAAAGTACGGATAAAGAACGATTGCTATATTATTCATTCTTATCTCTGTATTCAATAAAAATTTAAAATCATACACATTTTCATCCTCACAATCATAATATAATACCCATCTCTATCCTCATTCAGTAAAAAATCAAGTTTTTTATTGAATATAAGTTGATATCCCTAAATTTATTTATTTGAATTTTTAATTTTAATTAAATTATTTTTAACAAAAAATCTTCACAAATTTTATCTGAATAATTTCATCTAATACCTCCACCAAGTCTCAAAATTAATTACCAACTCTAAAATTTGGTCCAAGTCTCCCAACCCTATTGGTAAGAATAGAAAAAGCAGCCTCCCAAGAAATACCAAGTCAAAAAGAAAAAAAAAATGCCATCTATATAAGCTTAGCAAATCAAAATGAACTAGGCATAATCAATTCATCAACATACCAATTACATACTGAAATCACCACCTACTCCACAATATGCAATTGAGTGAATTGACCATCCCTGGGAAACAAACTACAGAAGGTTTAGAATTTCCGGAAAAGCTGCCCACGGCAGGAGACACGGCGGACGAGAATCAGGGTCGTAGAAAAATTTTCATGGCATCATCATCATCATCATCAGCTCCTAGACAGCGTCCGAGGTGTACATGTTCAAACCATCCAGGTTCAGCACCATGTAGCAGACATGGTTACATGATACCCGGGGAGAAGAACATGAGGAGATATAGTGCTAACAAAGAGATATTGATGAGGGCATTAACACCACCAAATAGGAAGATGACACTTCGGTGGTGGAACTTCAGGCCAACACCAAGCCGGCTTTCTAACATGTCTATGGCTTAAGGTTCAGCCCTTTTTTTTTTTTACCAGTTTTGACAGCAGCAAAATTCTGATCAATTGAAGAATATACGAAGTATATGTAAATGATTTGATTGGGTGGTTAAACTTTGGTTGATTTTGTATGTTTAGAATGGAATTTTCAACATTTTTGTTAGTCTTTTGGATGGTTAATTACATGTTCATGATTTAGCTATGTACCTATTCCTAAATGATCCAGCTATTTGAAACTTCATATGATTTGTACATTTCTCTTTGGAAACTTTGAAATCTGCTAATAAAATCAAATCCCAAATTCAAAATCTGGTCTGCTCATAAGCTTCATGTAAATATGCTGATAAAATCAGATCCCAAAATCAAAGAAACTCAGCTCTTGGTTCTGACTTCGAACCTCGAATCCAATTTTCAGTTTTTTATGCTTCTGATGCATTACTTTCTTTGAATGATTTTTTTCAGTCACAAAGTAAGCACAATCATGGTGCATTATCTTGATTCAGGATTGATCTTAAACATAACAACCACAGTGAAACAGCATCATGGTATGACTTTCATCACTACTGATTATGGAGACCTGCTTGCATTTTCAAGCCTGTCTAAAATTGAAATCACAATCTGCCAGCATATAGCCGAATTTAGGCGACACCTTTGGATACGACATGTTTTCCTAGCATTCAATTAAAACATAACCAACCACATATCGAATTTCTTCTTGAATTCAAATGCAAAGAATGCTAAAAGTACTTTAATGAGACTGTTCCAGATTAGAAAGGCCAATTTTGCATTTCAAATGGATGTCAGTACAAAAAGTGCCTAAGGGCGATTCAGTACAACTAAGAAATGCAGTGCAGACAAAGAAAAAATACCATATGGAAGGTCTGCACCTTCATAAGAAAGACATGTCTATGCTTCAATAGCCCAAATATCCACATGGCTCCTTGTGGCAAGCAAGAATTCAGAAAAATATCATTGAAATAATGAAGAGAAAATAGAATTGCAGGAATCGGCAATTGGAAACAAACATAATGTCTTGGTTTGAGACTCACATGAAAAAATAAGTAAAACAGCCCCTCACTACATGAAAAAAACAAGGATATTCTAATTTTGATCTTTAAATGTAAAATAGCCCCTTACTACATGAAACAAACAAGGGTATTCTAATTTTGATCTTCAAACAAAAGACATGCCATAATTTGTAAATATGAGCATGCTTACATGTGTGCGCGTGTGTGCATGTGTGAGAGAGAAGCATCACTACTTTAGTTGACAAAGGCAAACTTATCAAAGTGTAGTTTTGATCTTTAAGAGTGTGATATAGATTATAACTACTGAAAATCCAAGGCAGCATGAAGACATCCTACTTTGTAATGGATGATCTAATACCAGCCAAACCCAGGGATATTTAACACAGAGGAAAAAGAAATTTTATTTGAGAAAGCATTTCACCATTCTTTAAAAAACTAATGATGACCAGAAAGTAAAAAAATACATCATCAAATGGATTGACAGACTTTAATATATGTAATACAAGGTAAATATCAAGCAGAGATGCTTCAACGAACATAAAAATATCTCGTCTGCTCAATAGGATTCACATGAAAATATCACAAAGTTTTTTCTATATCCAAGGCCAATACCGTTAACAATCGCCCTTATGTAGCAATTAAAAAGTAATCGCTTATACAAAGTATTTAGTCAAATAAGCTAACATAAGGGGAGTCACGCAAAAATCTTTTATGCAAGCTTGAATTTGACATTTATAGAGAGACAAACCTAAGTAAATATCAAGTCCATACACACTATAAATCAGACAGCTGTGAAAATATCGGGTGAATGCAGTTACCGTCCTATGTCATTTCACTTTCTCGCTCGCTATGATGCATCAGAATCGCTTGAATCTTTAGAATGACTTGCACCACTCACACTGCCGGCATCTACCCCTTTGTCAAGTAATACCAGGCTCTCCACATAACTATCAACAAATAAAAACCCTGACTCTGCTTCAATTCCAAGATGTTCCATTTGGTGGCAGTTCAAATCCAGTGAAGCCATCTCTCCACTATCCACTTCCAATAAAACTTCCCCATTCTTCCTAAACCCCAACACCCTTGGTAACCTTCCACTTTGGTCAGTCAAATGTAATGCCTTAGTCCATGACTCAACTACACCATACTCCTTCATGATCCACATTTCAAGCTGCTCACCATCTTCCCAATCTCTCTTAAGCACTGCAATGGAAGATTCCTCATATTTCATAATTGACAAATCCATAGGACACAAATCAATCAAACTCTCTGGCAACCTTATCACAAGAAATTCGTCACTACTTATATCAAACCCCAAAATCATATTCCTGAATCCGCCATCATTTCTTCTCTGATATGCCAGCCAATGGACAGCCCCATTAGCAAAGGTTGATGAAATTTCTCCTTCTATAGCATAGTAGGGAGAAATGGCAGCAACCCTCTTCCAAGAATTTTCATTAAGTGAAAACAAATATGCTTCACGCAAAGTTTCAGCTTTTTCAACGGCAACTATAAGCAGCTTGTAATCATTGGTTCTAGAATCAAACCCAAATCCAAATATTGAATATGCATTATCATCCAAACAGCTGATGCTTGGCTTTGGCAATGTAATGTACTTTTGAATGGAAGGATTCCAAAAAATGAAGTTCAAAACATCTTGGCGAAGACAAACTAACCCATTACAAGAACCAATCTCTATGAAACAACGCAAACAACCTATGACAGGGAAGTGAAGCTGCTTGAACTCATCAAAGTCATCATTGTCAAGATGTAAGAAGTAGTTTTCTTTGTAATTTTTAAAGCACCTGAGAAGGAGGAGGTGAGTGTTGGGTTTGGAAAGTGCAGTTTGTAAATGGGTTGAAATGAAAGAAGGGTTGCAGATGAGGCTGTTCCAGGTTTTGCAAACTGACCGGAATTTCACCAGGGACTTCACAGGGAGTCTTTTCAGGATTTCCAGGATGACTTCAACTGGCAAATAGTCAGACATCTTCTTTTTCCTCAGTTCCTTTTTGATGTAAGTATGTATCTGGGGAAGTGAAAGGGGAAGGGAAGAAGAAGACAAGAAGTGGCTAAACGCCTACTTTTCTCTTCAAACAGCCCAATAGTTGCTTCATAACTCACATGAAACCATAATATTTTAAGAATTTATTTTTTGTGCTGATCTAAAACTTTCACTCTTCTTCATGAGATAAGATAAGATTTACCTTGAAATCAGGAGAAAAACCATTACGAAACCAAATTTCTTGATGATCAATCATTGATCACATTATATTAATTGACCAAAAATCCAAAGGTGCCAAAGTAGCTTTTGAAAAAAGGGCGGTGTGGGCGGTGTGGGCGGTGCATCACTTTAGACACATGATTCATTGAGTTCACGCTCTTCAGTTCTTTTTGGACCCAAAGTTCTTTAATTAAAAGTTGTCACTTAAGAAAATCAAAAGATTGAACAAAATAAAATTGCCAGGGAGATTTGGATTAAGACATTTTGTGAAAGAAGATTGCAACTGTGAAACTTTAAATCGAATATCATCCGTCACTTTTTAAGACGGTTGTATAAATTGCCTATTTGAATCCTTATTCTTAAAGATTTTGATGTAAAAAGTTATTTTCATGTAAGTTATGTAAAAATTTACATCTAATTTGTAATTTATTATTTATTTTTATTCAAAAATCTTATGATTTTATTTCATAAATAAAATTTTTTAAATTTGAATTTAAGTCTCAACTTATATATTATTTTTTATTTATATAATTTTTTAATATAAGATTGAAAACTTATAATTTTCTTACATTTAAAGCTTAATGTCTTTGTCAAATCGAGTTTAACTACAAGATTAAGATCACATCAAATATTAAGATTTTATACATGACTCTTCATCATGTAACACTTAATGACTCTCATAATCTTACTATGTAGCACTTAGTTTCGATCAATTGGTAATCACTTTGAGATCACACTAGACATTAAAATTTTAAAAATGGCTTCTCATCGTAGTAACCACTTTAAAATCACAATAGACATCAAGATTTTAAAAATGACTTCTCACCATGTAGTATTTAGTAACTCCTACGATCTCATCGTGTAGCACGTAATTTACATCAACTGATAACCACTCTAATAACATTTGTGGAGACCTGTATCCCACCGTGTAGCACTTAATTTTCATTGACTGATAACTATTCGATACTATTTGTAAAAATTCGTACTCAACTTAAGAGATATTATCTGCTTTAACTTGAAAGTCTCACAATTTTATCCCACAAAAAGCATACATCACTAGTATCTTAGAGTTAACTCTGATACTACTTGTCATAAGCTTAAAACTCAAACTTCAAGCTCACACGACTCTAAGACACAAGGATTGACTCTTCTGCGTTTTAAATTAGTCTAAATGTCACAATTCATACCAACTTATGAGATATTATCTGCTTGAATTCGAAAATTATGATTTTATCCCACAATACCTTTCAAATTTAAATTTAAATTTCAACTTATATATTATTTTTTATTCACACATTTTTTAAATATAAAATTGAAAGTGTTACAAGATAAAAGGCAGCCTTAGCTTCAATCTTCATATGAGTTTGTCAATATATTGTCTTTTGGTCCACAATTTGCAAAATTAAATCAATGTAGTGAGTTTGAGGGAGAAAATAGAAAAGGGCAGACCAAACAATACTTATAAACAGATAAAATAGAATTTTCGAAGGAAAAACAGCGTTCTTCGTTACTTGAGGTTTTTTCCCTTGTCAAGACAGATAAATTTTAATGGAAAAAAAAAAGACAAATTTTCAACATTTTGAGTTAGTCCAATCAATATGGTCGATTACTTTTCACCTTCATTCATTAAGAAATATTAGATATATATATATATATATATATTGTATATTAAAGACAAGCTGAAGTTTAGAAACCATCCCATCGTTGAAGACAGCATTCAAGGAGCTCCCTCTGCAGGGTTTCCTGCAGTCATAATTCCAGTCCCTGATTGTCATGACCCTGATCAAATATGCCCTGGAACGTCAATTTCCTTTGGTCAATTTGTTTTTGAGAAAAAAGATGTCTTGGACCTCTTGGTCAATAAAGAAACAGCGTACCAATTGTCTTGGTCAATTTGTTTTTGAGCAAAAATTGTTTTGGCAACAGCAACAATTACAGAAAACATCACTTAAAAGTCTTCAGGAAAAACATTTCTTACAAACCTGTGATCTTGCAAAAGGAAACAGCTAAGGGAACGAAGTGCAAGATGAAGGCCTATCTCAGGCACACAATTACAGGAGGCAAACAAAACGAAAATGCATAAACTCAGCACACAAGGATTACAAAGTATGCCGAGCCTAAAAGCTCTGGCTCAACATGTATTACAAATATAACGTGCCAAACATGCAAAATCATTGATTAAACAAAATTTGGCTCGTATATTATTAGAAAAGTTCTTTACTTTATGTTATTAGAGTAGTTCTTTACTTTAAGGCAGCAGATGAAACATACATGATCCTCTAAGTGCATTTAGCCATATATGCCTCCCATCCTTGAAGGCGGTATTCACGAGCTGCCTCTGCAGGGTTGGCTGCCTTAATGATTCCACGACCCACAATTATTATGTCACTACCCCTATCGAAGATGACCTGGAATATAATTTATCTCAGTTATTAAAGTTGAAAGGAAAATGCCACAGGAAAAGAAAAACATCTCTTGCATGCCAAATCCACAGCCTACAACTGGCTTATTTGGTTAATGATTTTAACACTGATAGTAAGGGCTATATATAATGCATTTTAAGGGAAAAAAGTTCATGTTTTCAGCCAAACAAATTTAAAGGAACGTTCCTATACACATTATAGCTTTACAGATGAGCCAAATTTTAGAACTAGTGATGATGGGATAAACCCCTTACAGAATATGGAGTGTTATACTGCTGGCCAAGGGCATCACCACCCTTTACCATTTGAACTCCAGGAGTTGCCTGAATGAATGCTGGATTTACTGGTGCCCCAGGCCATGATGCTGGATTGACTGATATGAAACCAATGACAAAATCAGAATGCTCTTCAGCAATTTTTACTGCAGCGGCTGTGTAGTCTCCCTTAGCAAGGTTACCAGCAGAGCTCATTTCAGCAAGTAGCAACAGACCCCTACCACGAGGCAAACCCTAAAACAGTTCCCCAAAATATAAAATTATGAGAAAGATTACTTTTAACTCCTTATTTTAAATCTAGCTAAAAGTTATATTGGGTAATTATAACAAACCTTCAATTTCAGACCATCCACAATTCCAGGACCAGAGATTATGTGTGCATTAACAATATCAGCCCAATCCAATATTTGGAAGATACCTCTGCAAAAGAACATGCAGAAGCACTTAGGTAAAAGCAAAGGCACCCAACAAAGAAAGAAAACTTGGGTTGGAGAAACTGAATATTACCCTTCATACTGCATTGTCACTGTGTTACCAATGTCTGCAAACTTACGGTCCTCAAAGATCAAAAAGTTATGTCTTTCTGCAATCTTAAGTTGAAATGTGGAATAAGGCAATATTAGTTCAACCTAGAAATAATGTCTCTATCACCCACCAGTTCACAAGACCCCACATAATTGAACGGAGGTCAATAACTCCATTTTACAAAAGCAAAACCATATTCAATTGGATAAATATATCCATCACCGAGTTTAACTACTAACGCTGAAAATGGAAAGCAAGGGTACCATCCCCAAAGAATTGTAACATAGTTGTATCACCATTGAAAATCAAAAAGATTTCTCAAGAATGACCATAGCTTAGGAAATGAGGGCATCAGGCATTTAGCATAAGCATTTGAGATATACCGCACGAAGTTTAGAACCAAAATCTGGAGTGAAATCAGGAAATATGTCAACATGGGTCTTCAATAGACAGATTTCTGGTCCAACCTATATAAAAGTTCAAATATATTGAGCAAGAGAAACAAAAATCAGCCACCCAGAAAGTTTTATTATATTACAAACATTCAATAAAAGATAAAGAACCAAAACAGCCTTTCCTCTTAACCGACATCCTTTTAAAATTCAGGTCTAAATGTAAACATTAACATCAAATCTAACCTTGTTTCCAACCCCATGATATTAAGCTTAATCACAACTCAAGTTCCATGATAATAAAAGGTTTAAGTAATAAAATGGGATTCAAAACACATCCAGCCAACCCCAAAAGATCCATTGGCATAGCTAAATACAAGTCAGACTTGTCTAGTAAGGATGAGAACATACATGATCGTCAAATGCAATAACTATGCCTAAGTTTCCAAGCATAAGTACAATAATAATCATCCTGGATGATATCAAAGTATCCTAAGACAGTAAGACTCCGAAAGAAAGATCCAACACAAATTTCCACCCTTATTGAAGCCCTTGTTCAACTACTTTTTAACAGCTTTAAACTGTGTCCTGTAATGTTATGTCCCAATTGTTAATATCCATCCAAACAAATATATATATATATAATTCCCTAAGATCAGTGAAAATTCTATCACCGCTACTTTTCCAGGGAAAAAAGAAAATAGTAAAAGATCACACTAAACATGTATCATATGATATCCAATGAAAAGAAAACCTATTTTCCATCAGTTTCCTAGGAAATTTTCCACTTTCCCAGGAAAAAAAATCATAAAGAGAAAACCCATCTCCCATCACTCTCCCTAGAAAAATTCCAACTTTACCAAGAAAACAAACCAACCCAACCAGAAAACCAAATTTTCGTCAGTGTCCTAGAAAAATTCCTAGCTTTCTTGACAAACCGAAATCAACCAACGATCAAACTCATCCCAACTTACCTTCTCAGCAATATCAAGCAACTCAGCAGCAGTCCCAACATCAGCAGCTAAACAGAGATTACTCTCTTTCTTAACCATAACCTCAAACAGCTTTTTCCCAGTTGGATTCTTAGCTAACTTAGCCCTTTCTTCAAACCCCAAACTCTTAATCCTCAGTTTCTCAACCTTAGGCACAGGCACTTTCTTGTTCTCCTCCAAAAACCTTATAACCAAACCTTCCATCTCTTCCTCCAGCTTCCCTTTGGCTCGCAAGACCTTCACCATCTCCGTTAAAGTAAACAGGGCGTGAAGCTTAATCCCATTCTCTTCCAACGTCTCCCTCCCGCCTTGTTCTCTATCTATAACCACGACAGCGTCAGTTACCTTTATACCCAACGCCCGTAGCGGCGTTGCGGTTTCAAGAACCGATGCTCCCGATGTTACAAGGTCTTCCACTACCAAACAAAATTGACCCTTTTCGTAAACGCCTTCGATGGACTTGGCAGTGCCGTACTCTTTCACTTCTTTGCGGCGCATGAGCATGGGGATGGAGGTGTCGAGAGAAATAGAGGTGGCCATAGGGAGGGCCGTGTAAGGGACGCCACAGATGAGGTTAAAGGGTGTTTGGGGAGGGAGGGTGGAGAGGAGGGAGTGGGAGATCTGGCGGAGTAGGGAAGGGTATGAGACGATCAGGCGGAGGTCTATGTAGATAGGGGAAAAGATGCCGGATTTTAGCTTGAAGTTGCCAAATTTGACGGCGGAGATTTCGTGGAGTTGGAGGATAAGGGACTCCATCGATGACATTTTGCAGCAGTGCTGATACTGGCGGAGCAGGTGAGTGGCGAAATGGTATTGGGAAGGAGACAATGGTTTTGTGCTTTATCGAAAGCAAAGCTATATAAAAAAGGTTTAAAGTTTAAAATTATTTAATATACAAGGAATTTTTAAATTTTATCAAGGAATTAGAGAATTACTATAAAAATAAATAGTTTAATAATATATTTATATTCGTTGATTTTTATGTGTAATTTGGACATTTCAATTTAAGTTTATTCGCATATTTTACAGTTGATCTCATGTATATACATATATATAAAATTTTGTAAAAATATAAATATCATATGTACGTTTTTAAACCTTTAATTTAGTGATTAAAGATGTTTTAAAAAATATTAAAAATCTGATTTTAAATTAAATTTTTTCTCTTTTTCTTACTTATATTAACAAAAAAAAAATCCTCCTGTAACCAAAAAAAAAAAAAAAACCTAATGTACTCTTTAAAGGGTGATGTTTCATATCTTTTAAGATCCACTTTACAATACAAGGTCAAAAATTCAAAATAAATGATTTTAACCTTTATAAAAAGAAAACGTATTCTTGAACCTAGTATAAATATCAATATATCACCCGTGCCTTTGTTTGTTACTAGAAATATAAATAATACAATAATATTTATAAGTTATTTGAATTTGATTTGAATAAAAATTTAAATTTGATTTGATTATTATTGAGTCGAGTTCAAATTTAAATAGTTTAACTCATCAATGGAGTCAAATTTAAATATTTTTATATCCGAGTAACTTGTGAATCTAATCGAATTTTTATATTTAAATATATTTTTATTATTTTAATTAATAAAATATATCGAATTCAAACTCAATTTTGAATACAAATAATCGAGTCTTTTGTCGAATATAATAATCGAATTTATTTTTATATGTTAATCGAGCAAGCTCAAATAACTCGATTTTTATCTCGAATCGAGCTTGAGTTAAAAAAATAAAATTCGATTTGAATTTGAGTTGAATTTTGAATCAAGCTCAAATTCGATATTAGATCGACTCGAATTCAATCGATTATATTTTTATTTGTTATAACACAATAATTCGAAAGTAAAATTTAAATAAAAAATAAATTAAATGAGATCATAAGAAAAGAGTACGATTTATTCGATAAATTCCTCTTTATTTCTCTCTAAGATATTTAGATTTTTTAAAACTCTATGGATATACAAAAGAGAAATGTTATTCCCATTCATACCAAAATATAATTTTGACTTGTTCAAATAACAATAGAGAAAAAACAAAGTCAAGAACAATCAATCTTTTTCCGATAAATAGATTTATTTTACAAGTTCGTTATTACGAGTAACTTTTACAAAGGATCGGATTAATGACTTATATAATATTTGAATTCAGATGCTACATGTTTGATTTTCTTCCTTCAAAGATTACAGTGTAATAGAAGCATATTATGGCTACTATTTGGATTTATAGGATTAAAATACAATATGTATCTAAATTTAATTTTTAAAACCCGCTACCAATCATTTTGACTTATTATTTAATATCAAGGAATTTTTAAATTTTATCAACAAATTAAAAAATTATTAAAAAAATTAATAGCTTAATAATATAAATATATAGTATTTTTTCAACTTTTTTAAAAAAAATATATATATATATATATACTATGTTTTTTTCAAATCATTAACGTATTCTTCAAATCACTCTTACATATTTGTATTCAAGATCAAATTAATCGTTGTGAATAAGTTCAATTGCTTATAAAATAATAATTTTTCCATTAAAAATTATATTTAGTTTAGTTTAAAAAATAAACATTTTATTCTAATCTTTTGAGTTATAGTTATAATAAAAAGCTTGTTTATTTATTAAAGTCCACCTTAATGATTTTCATTTTTTTTTTATTTTCTATAATAGATACCACCACATATCTTGATTAATTATGTTTTATTTTTCATTATTTTTTAATTTATCTTAAGAATTGTATATTCCCTTCGTTCCAAATTGTTTGGGTGGTATTTGACTTTCATAGAGTTGAAGAGAAAGAAAAAAAGCTTTGATTTTAATATATTTAATATTAAAATTAAATTTTTTTTATAAAATTAAAGTTTCACTACTTTTAATGTCAAAAAGTTAAAAAAAAATTATAAAAAATAATATTAAAATATTAAAAAAGGAAAAGTTTTATATGTAAAAAAAAAATATAATTTTGGGATATTTCAAAAAAATGGACAAAAAAAAAGGGATAGAAAGAATATCATCTTTTTTAAAAAAAAAATTTATACTTTCAAACTTTTTGAAAAAAAGTAAGAAAAAATATGATATATTCCTTTTAGACCATTTTTATATACAATAATATTTATATACATGCAGGATTATATCAAATAAAAATAAATTATTTCTTTCTTAAAAAACTAAAGCATATATATTATTTAGTAATGAATTAAAAATAAAAAAGTATTAGCATACTTTCATTTTTGTAATTTTAATCAAATGGTTTGTACAAAATATGAAAAATATTAAGAGATATGTTAAAAAAAAAAATAATTAAAAAATATTATTTTTCATAAGAAGAAAATTGTCATAATAATAATTAAATATATCATGTAAAAAAGTTGTAAACCAAAAAATAAAATTGCAATAGTAATCAAATATATTTTGAAAAAAGTTACAAATTGAAAAAAATAAAATACTGATATAATACATTATATCTATAGTCTTGAATTTTTAAAAGAACTTTTAAGTGGCAATTAACATTGAATAAATTATTTACAAATTAATTTTTTTTAATTTAAAAAGGATATAAAAAGTGATAATCAAAATTTTTTTCATATATTTGAGATATACATTTGATAGTTAGAGTTGAAACAAATATAATCTCTTTGATAGTCTTATTATTTAAAGATTTAATATGAAAAATTATTTGAATTTTCAATGTCTTAAATAAAATTTTAAAATGATAATTTTTTATTGATTTAAATCAAGATAAAAATAATTGTTAAAACATTTGAATAAACTTAATCTTTCTAATTTTTAAATATATTAAAAGATTTTGATAATTAAATAATTTCTTAAATAAAGTTATTTATAAACTTGTTTTAACAGTCGCATTGCTAGTCTAGATTCGAAGATTCGTCCAAGTTTTAAGAGGGTTTAAATAAAAAATTAAAACTTGTTAATGAGTTTAGACACAATCTTTAGAGTCATTTAAATTTCAACTCTAGCCTTGGACAAAAAAATTAATGTCCAAACCCGATTTAAATAAAATATATATAATTAAAATGTTATAATTATAAAAATATATACATAAATTTTTATTTTTATATTTTATTTTTTAAAAAAAAGATTTCTTTTGTTACATAAATAAGTTTAAGATTTATTTTTTAAAAAAAAGTTTTAAGTCTTAAAATATTGGATCGAGTAAAGTTTGAACAAACATATAAACTATTAATACGAGGTGTACACTTGACTTTACCCATAAACAACTTTAATTATTTTGTAAACAATTAAAATTATTTATTATGAGGATAAAATTCATAATTTAAACTTTTAATTTTAAAAAATATTTTTCTAAATTGATTAGATTTTTAATTATAATTTTAATAATTTTGATATTTGAATAAATTTAGAATTATCCAATTTGTAACTAAAAAAAGTTATCTTACTTTTTTAAAAAAATAAAAAAATTATTCACGTTTATGTGACAAACTTGATCAAATGCCCATATATGTTGTAATATTATATATATAATATATGTGTGTGTGATTAATAGTTTAATAATATAAATATATAGTATTTTTTTTACTTTTTAATTTAAAATTTTCAACAATTTATTTTTTTAATATTCCTAATAATGATTTTAAGTTTTATTTAAATCTCTTTTTTTCAATAATTTTAAAAACATTCTCTCTAAATCACCCTTGCTTATTTGTCTTCAAAATATAATCCTTGTGAATAAGTTTAATTGCTTATAAAATTATAATTTTTCATTAAAAGAGATATCTATTTTAATTTAAAAAATAAACTTTTTATTCTAATCTTATGAGTTATAGTTTTTTCTTTCTTAAAAGCTTGTGTATTTACAAAAGTTCACCTTAATAATTTTCAAATTTTTTTTTTTTTTTTATAATATATACTACCACATATCTTGATTAACTATGTTCTATTCTTCATTTATTTTTTAATTTAGATTAAGGATTATATATAATCTTTTTTTTTAAATTATACCCTTAAACTCAAGACTTATGGAAATTATTCATACTATCACTTAAAAGTAATTTCTAATAAATTTAACATTCAAATTTATTATCTTTTGGCTATTTATATATTCATCTCATATAAAATTATTAATAATTTATATATTTATATTTTATTTTATTTAAAAAATTACATATTATAATTTATATAGACATGAAAATATAAAATATATATATTTATTTTATTAAATTTATTTATGATTTTTTAAAAATTTTAAAATATATCATCTTCAATTTTTATTTATATTATTTTCATATTATATTGTATTTTAAATTATTAAATTTAAATAGTTTTTTAAAAATCTATTTATCCTTTTAAAAGATTCATAAATCATCAAATTAAAAAATTGCTATAGTAGTAATAGTGAACTAGAACTAAGACTCCTTAGTTGTTGAAGATCATTCGAATTTTGTAACCAAAAAGATATTATAATTTGAAAAGGGAAAGAAAAACTTCATTTGTAAGTGTTATTCAGGAGAAACGTGAAGCAATCATCCACCAAATCCGGTTTTTCACATATTTTTCCCAAAGAAAAACAGAGCTACCACTTTTCACTTTCCCTTCTTTTCATATGAATTTGGCCCACAAAAGATGTCAAAGCAAGCAATGATTCCATACAATTTCCCTGATGAAATCTTAATGGAAATCTTCCATAAACTGCCCATCAAGTCCCTGGGGGAGTGCATGTGTGTTTCTAAAGCCTGGAACTTTCTCATCAAAAGCCCTTCTTTTGTTTCCGCCCATGTCAACATCCTGTCAACAAACAACACAAACGACAACAACAACAAGAAGCTTTTCCTTGTCATGACTAGCTTCCATGGAAGAGAAACCAAATTGGAATACTCTTTGCACTTTGATGACCAATACTTCAGTAAGTACACTCAGTTACAAGACATCCCATTTGATACCCATCATTATATAGTTGGTTCCTGCAATGGGTTAGTTTGTTTAGTGGACTTTCAGTTTAGTTTTCATAGCAAATTCATTTTATGCAATCCAACTATAAGAAAGTATATTAGACTGCCAAAACCATGTTTTCGGAATTTGCCATATAAAGTTTCTATTGGGTTTGGATTTGATTCAATAAGGAATGATTATAAGCTTTTGAAAATTAGCAAAAAAGATGTGCTGGAGGAGAATGTTGAGGTTGAGCTTTACTCCCTCAAAAGAAATTCTTGGGAAATATTAGCTCCGCCTAAATATGATCTTTATTCAGATGATTTCATGGTTTTTGTCAATGGAGTTGTTCATTGGATTGCTTGTGAGAGAGTGAATAATCATGGGCGTAGTAGGTTTAAGTTTTTGCTTTTGGGGTTTGATTTGGGCTATGAGGTTTTTAAAGAAGTTATGCTGCCTGATAGTTTGAGTAATTTACATGAACGGTCAGAGATGTATGTCATGCCATATGGTGAATTGTCATCAATTGCAGTGATTGAATTGGCGTTATATGAGAAGTGCAATATATGGGTGATGAAAGAGTATGGCATGGTAGAGACATGGACTAACATGTTCAGTTTTAGAATAATAGGAAATGGACCGATGCCAAGAATTTTAGGGTTTAAGAAAAATGGGGACTTGATCTTGATGGGTTATAACGATCTGCAGGTGGTTTCAAATGAACTGCAGGTGGTTTCAACTGAACCGGAGAGCGGTGAAATAAATGGTTTTGGAATTTGGGGAATGTATGCTTGTGTTTTTAGTTACATGGAGAGCCTAGTATTACTCGACCATGTAATAGATGCTAGAGGTGAGAATGATGCAAATAATGCAAGTAATTCAATTGAGGGAGCAGCTGGTGATTTGTCTGATGCTGAAGATGAAGCAACTGGTGATTCAAGTGATGGTGAAGATTTTATAAGCTATGCATAAGTATGGGAGAAAGATGACAGCCTAAAAAAGGCAAGTATATTTAGCTATTATTTGAACAATGCTCTATTTTGTTCACTATATTATACATTTAAACATTGAATCTCAACCTTTTGCTAAATTTCCTTCTAGCATTCCTGCCTGTACATGTATTGTTCTGTAGTCTATATTCAGTGCTCTGTAGTCTATATTCAGTGCTGAAACCATCTTAACCCGGCAGGATTGTGTCTTGGAAGAAATTTTGTAGCCCTACCAAACATTTGCATTTGTGGTTAGGTTCAAGAATTGATGATCCCAAAGTTTTTTAAGTTGAGCAACTAAAGCATTTCATTGAGTGTTAGCTTTACTCTTTCAGTGTGAACTCTATGAAACAAATTACTGATATTGATCTGAGAATAAGAATATAAGCCAGATGGCTTTTGCAACATATTTATTGTTGCTCAACACATCTGCTAATGATGCAATCACATGCTTAGAGATTTTGTTAATCATTTCCCAGGTCCCAAGTCCCAAGCCTGTGATGCTTGTTGGCAGACAAAAGATTCTGAACTTCTTTGCATATTGTAAAATTCAGTAGTTATTATTACTCTTTCTGCTACTGCCTACTTATAATTTTTTTTCTTTGTTTATTTCCTAAGTTTAGTTGCAGGAAAACATAGAATCAATTGGGTTTATTGGACTGCAGAAGCATGAAGTATATTTTGACAATTGTTTTTATTTGAAGTAGGTTTGAGTACTAAAATGATGAGATATTTTGAGGTTTGTTATGTTTGAAGCTAGAAATGGGATGATTATGATTTTTTCCCCAGCCTCCCTCTTCTCTTGTTTTTGACTTTTGCCGGTATGGTCGGAAACTGATTCCTATGGTGGTCAGATGGCCGATATCAGGATTTTGTAAAGGATGGAAGTTAAACTTTTTCATAGTTTAGAAGGCTAAAGCAATAATTTTGAGAGATGAAAGAACTTAAAGCTTGTGCTTCATCATAATGTTTCCATTCCCATTTCTTTTCTTTTCTGTTAAAGAAATGGCATGCTTTAAACATGACAATGCTAATTAGATGATCAACTTGAGGCTATCTCATGATGATCATAGCTTTTACTAATTGGTATAGCAAGATCAAAGTCTATTGATTAAAACTTATAATGTTTCTCATCAAACCATTTACACTAATAACAGATACAAAAGAATCATACCTTTTAGCATAGTTTTGATCCTATTGAACCATGTTGAAATGAATTTCCCTTGATAAAGTTGAAAAGAAAAAAAAAAAAAGAGATTTGAAGATAAAACAAAAGAACTGCCCTTGATATCTAGATTTGGGAATTTTAAATGCGATATGATCATACGATGATACACGATGATACGATATAAAATCGATACAAAAAAAATGTGAAAGTAATAATTTAAAATTTTAATAAAAATTGTATGAGTTTAGCAAAAATATAAAAAATATGATCTATATTTGATGTATCAATATGAATTTGACATGAAATTTTTTATATTTTACACGTGTTTGACAATAGATGAATATAATACAAATACACTAATTGTAAGATCTATTGATATCTACACTTTCTTGTGTCTTTATATTAACCTTGACAAAGTTTGTCTATAGTTCACTTTGCACATGTTCATGCTAAAAGGGACTTTTGTTCACAACATTTGCCTTAATATGAGAATTTTCTTTCTAATATAAAGCTTGACGAAACTGAAATATCAACTTCAAATTTGTTTTCCAGGAGTCATTTCCCTCCATCAGCCCATTCCTGTTCTTATATGGTGAATGGATGCATTGGAATTCCATTGGCAAGGCTTGTTTACCAGGGGTAAGGGCTCCAAACTACATTCTGACTGCTATTGCGAATGCTTCTGATACAGATCCTGAGGATGACAGTTCCTTCAATTATAGATTCTCGGTCAAATGATAGGAAAATTGCTGTAACAGAGTGAGTCCAACAACAAAAACTGGAAAAAATCACTGGCAAGCAAAACTGACCACTATTTATATGTGGTGGCTAATGTCATTTGTTTCCCTAGAGACCATTCAGAATTGCTTGTGACGGAAACCTATTAAGATTTATCAGTGGAAAGCAATTGTAATAGAAAGTTTCTAGCACTATACCATGATATTTCCACAGTTAGTGGTCAGGATGTCTTGAAAGGTATACGATGTTTTGTACATACAATCAAAAGAAGCTGGTTTCACGTAGCATACATATGTAATTTTCGGTTTGAGCAATACATACGATGATCAGCCTCTCAAGTCTCGTTTCACCATTGCTTTTGGCAAGTGATTATGCACCTCAGAATGGAGTTCAACTCTAATGTGTCAATCCCAGATACCCTCCTTTTTTTCCATCTTAGCTTATCTTGTTATTTACTTATTCCTGCAAAGGCACAAGGGAAATTATAAAGGAAACAGAAAACCAAGGGACCTTATATTCTAGGCAACTCTTGCTTGTTCATACATGACACATGAATCAATCAGTTATCATACCTCAGATGGACCAGCTGGTGGCAAACTTGAATTTGCTTCTGCTGGCACTGCCTCGAATATCCTTGCTTCCGATTTTTCATTCGAATAACTAGCGAGGTTGAAAAAATAGACCATCAAAACCAAAAATTGGACACCAGTTAAAATGCGAACTATGTGACATAAACTGGAGACTGCTTGCATAAATGCATTGATGCAGCTTGAACTTTTCTCAGAATCATATTAAAAAATGCAGCAAATCAGCTATGATTTTTCTCCATTAGCTAGCTTTTTGGTAGAAAGAGTGTTTCTCAATGTTATTGACTAACATCTGACAGTTCAATGTTTTCGATACTTACGTTGAGAGAATCGTCACCCAAATAAGTTCAACACAGTCCACCCAAAAAAGTCTTTGTTCTACTGGGATAACACCATAAGTGATAAGATGAGCAAATGGCCACAGCTTCCATCCAGCCTACATGACAACAGTGTACAAGAACACTGTTAGATCTTGTCTCTATGGTTCCTCACTGAAAAATGAACAAACACCACATTGTTCAAGTACAAGGAGAATGAAAGGCAAAGAGAGGAGGTTCTCTTACAGTCAGCATGGGCCAGAATGTTGCCTTCAATTCATTAAAAATACTGACTGGAGATTCAAGACGCAGGAACCCCAAAACTGCAAAGTAAATGCTATTCCAAACTGCTGCCCATGCAGTTTGGTCAAATACTACTTTTGCAGGAACCACCCACAAGTCTTGGAAAGGAAAAATATCCTGTGAAAAGAGCATGTTGTTTCAATAGATCACATAAAAATCTCTCATGTGCTGGAAATATAGTGCAGAATGATCACCTCACAGAATTGGTAATAATAATGAGACATGGAACCATGTAGAGTAAAGCCAACAAGGCCAGATCTGAACATTCGCGTACGATCAAACTCGAGGAGAGGTTTCCCTTCAAAGCACTGAAAGTTAAAGAATACAGACACAAAAAAGTTTATGATAAAATTTATGACCAAAAAAAAAAAGATTCAATCTATGTTTTTCACAACATAAGCTTACCTGTGCAATCCAATCTCCTAGAGAATAGACAACTCCACTGATAACCATTTTTGCTGAAACAGGATTTGTCTTCAAAACTTCCTCGTAAGCACCCCAGTTGTGTTGAGGTGCATATCTTAGTATCTCATAAAGAGTCCACCCCTAAAAGAAAGCCAAAAAATGAGTTCCCATAGGTTGCAAATCAAATTGATTACGACTTACCAATGCTATGCATGCAGTACATAAGCATATCAAACAGATGAAGATTTTTTTATGCTAAAATGTTTAAGTCATTATTTGTTAAATAAATAATCTGATAATCCTTCAGACAGTCTTGGATTCTTAGGCAGCCACAACAATCTGATAACCGTACGTTATAATCAATACCTATTCATATAATTTTGCATCCAACCATGGCTTTCCCAAACCAAATCTTGCAATTTTACCACAAAACACAAGCATTCAAAAGAAAATTGCATTTTAAAAATAAACAAAAGCTTGCCTGCCAATAATCATGATCAATCGTAAGCAACTTGGTGATGGCAAAAGTACCAACAGCAAGAACAATAGTAGCATTAATAGTTTTATCTATAAGCCTGTCCATTTCCTCCTGACCTCCTTCTTCATCTCCAAACCCACTCCTTGAAGCTGAAGCTGAAGCGGAAGAAGAAAATCCTTCGAAAGATAACCTTCCTTCCTTACCAAACCCACCTACTTGACTCACTAACTCGCCTCCTCCTGCTGCTTCTCTCTCCACCTGACTCACCGTAACTCCTTCTTGCATGTCAGTAACATCCTCACTTTGTACTGGTATCACGTCAAGCTCCTCAGCTAATGAGTTCACCACCACCGAGTTGACCCTTTTGTTGTTCTTCTTCTTTTGTGTATCTCTCGAGAAAGTAAAACCCTCGGGGGGTTTTGAGCTGGTTAATGATGAAGCAGAGGCCTGTCTTGAAATGGGTTTTCGAGGTTTTGATAAAGAAAGGAGGCTTTGAGGAGATATCGTCGTGTGAAGAGACGCCATGGCTGAGTTTCTAAGAGGAACTAAGTTGAGTCGACCAAGATATGATGACTTGGCGCTAACAAGACTTAACCGCCACTTGTTATGGGTTGTTCTAGCTTCGCCAACGTTGTAGCGTCCGAAAGAGCCGTTTCTTATGAGAGTTACTTTGTGTGGGGTGATTCCATGGGGTAAGGCTTATGGTTTTTGTGCATTTGATTCTGGTTGGTTTTTCTTATCAACGGTGATGATGATAAGGATAAGTAAAGGTGACAAATAAGCATGTTGAGTTTGAGTGATTTTGAAATTGGTCTTTTGAATCAGAGTTTTTTTTTTTAATCAAATTATCTAAAATTCAGGTTGAATTCGTGTTTTTATGATTTTGATTAAATTAATTTGGTTAAATATTTAATTTATGATTAAACATTTACATGATTATCCAATTCAAAACTAAATATTTTAATTTATATGATTCCTGAATTCAAAATTAAATATTTTAATTTATACAAATAAAAATTAATTATTAAAAATTTGTAATAATATAAAATTTTTATTGATAGAAACGTGATTATGAAAGACAGACACCTTAAAAATGTATAAAAAATAAATTTAAGCAGACCTAACATTTTTATATTAATATGTCATCTAGAGATGGTAATAGATCGGATTGGATTTTTGTTTATTCTGAATTCGATTTGATTTTATATTTTTTAAATTTTGATTCGAAATTAATAAAATATTATTTTTTAAATATAAAATATTATTTTTAAAATTTAAATATTTAAATATATAAATTAAAAATTATTTTAAAAATTATTTTTTATATAATATCAGGTCAGGTCGAATTTGTCTAAAATCCGAATTCGATTTTTTTTTTAATGTTTACTTGATTCAATCCGATCCGAAACTCAATTTAAAAAAAAAAATCAATCTTATAAAATCAAATTAAAATTCGCTTGGAAACAGATTGAATTGCTTACATTAATGTCACCTAAAACAAAAGAAAAAAGTCAAAATAATAATTAAAAAAGTTAATTTCATGAAAACACAAACTTTTTTTTTTTTTCATATTCTTTCTTTTTCTGTTCTAATTTTAGATTTTTCTTCCCCCAACACAGTATCCCTTTAATTACGGAACTCTCATTTCCATCATTTCATAGATAGAAAAAATAACTCCTCTTTCTTTTTCTTTCGAATTTTTTCTTCTTTTCTCTATTCAACTCCTCTCTTTTAATATCTATTTTCTTTCTCTAACTATAACTTTCCTTTACTTCTAACTTTTTTATTCACAATACAAAAATTTGTGTGTTTTTGAATATCTTGTGTTTTATAATATGAATTATAAGATACTTTTTAGTTTAGAGCAACAGTGGGTAATTAAAAATATGACAAGTGTAAACCAAAAACATCAAATGAACCAAAATTCTCTCATAATTTAAAAAAAAAAATGACATTTTCTCTTTTATTAATGGCTCAAGTTAGCATTTTGAATGCTTTTTTGGTGGCATTGTAAATTGTTCTTCTAGCCTAGCACTCGCAACTTCACTTCATGAGCAGTCTTAACAAAAATGGAGGAAAGATAGGGAGTTTACTGAGCAACATGATATTCTCTAAGTTATTAATAGTAGCATGGAGACATCTGGACGTAGGTTAATTGGGATATCAACCTAAGGGCCAAAATGATGACCCACATTAAGTTGGTTTGGGCAACAGGGACCTTGTAGATGGTTTGAGATTTGGAAAAGAAAAAGGTTTTATTAGGTGAAAAAAAGGAGAATTAGTCTTTGAAGATGTGTTTGGATTTAAGAAGATTATAGATCAAATTGTGATTTATTCATTGTAACAATGGTGGCTATGGAAAATTTGAAAAATAAGAGAAAGAGAGGCATGAGAAAGAATTTACGAAAGAAGAACCGACAAAGAGAAATGAAAAAAATAAAAGTTGAAAGTTAAAATTTTTCATTTAATTTAAGTTTTTTATGAGTTCAACAACCAAATTTGACTCTTTTTTTTCCGAACTCAACAATAAATTTGATTATTTTTTAATTATGTAATTTAACGCGGGTGTCTTTCATAAATTTATTTTCGTTTATAAAAATGTTAAATTATTATAAATCGATAATATTTAATATTTATTTGTATAAAATAAATAATTTAATCATGAATTGAATAATTATTTAAATATTTAATTTTAAATTAAATATTTAAATAATTAATTTTGAATTTTTATTGTTATGGATTTAAGTTATTTTATATTCAAATAATTTTTAAATCATGACTTTGTTTTTATTAATTTGAGTATGAACTTGTCGCAATTAATAATTTAAATGAATTTTTGGATTAAGTTTCGGATTGATTTTGCAGCATCCAAATTATTGAATTATTGATTATGGTGTTGTGAGTTATTTATGAGGTTTAGCATTCTTCTTTTACTTTGTACGGTGATGATGGTCTTTGTTGTGATAGCGTATGTTACTATGGTGCAGTGTTATACAGGGGATAACTTTTGTGTGTACGGTCCAAAAAAATCATGGTGATCGGTGATATCTATCCACAGATTTTTAATTTCAATAATTTATTCGATTAAAAAATATTTAATAAAAATTATATATATGTTCCACAGCAGCCTTCTATTGGTCAGAAACAACTGATCAATATAGGGTGGGCCCATATAATCCAAAGCTGACAACCCAAGCACATACGCAAATTTACAATGTATGTCAGTGGGGCCCATGCAAGCCTCACACGAGGATAGCTACATCATGTCTGAAGCATCTCTTTTCTTTCTTGGTGATTCTGGATAATTACCAAGCATCTCAAACTCTGCAGCAAATTTTGCGAACCATTCGAAATTTCAAAGGCCCTCATTCAATTTCATTCAGATATTTTTGTTTGTACATGGAAGACAATGTGGTTAGATTTTGAAGTTTTTCCTCTGAATTTTGTGGCCAAAACATGACAGAAATTTATGGTTTTGCCCCATATGAGGTTGGGATTGTTCTTTGCTTGAGAACAAGAATTACAGAGTAAGAGTTAATGGATTTTAATGGACCTAGATTTTCTGACATTGGAATATTCTTTAATGAAATATGAGACAAGTTTTAGATTGTTGAAAATTGCATGGATACTAAAAATTCTTGAAATTTGGAAACATTTTTAAAGGGACATTCTTATGTATATGTAGTGTCTTTATTAGGATTTTAAATTAATTTAATAATTTGTGTATTTATTTGATGTTAAATGTAAAAATTACTATATCATAATTCGTATTTATATATTTATCGCAAAACATATAAATTTTTTTAATCAAATTTATGTACGATTTTTATTTTTATTATAGCAAAAAGGAAGACATTGAGCTAAAATTAAGTGCAGAGCTTCCGCAGGAGGGAAAGATATCAAGGAGAGAAGTTGAAACTTGGTTGAAAAGAGTGAAGGAGATAATTATTGATGCACAAGATGTTGAAAATTGGTTGATGAACAAACTCGAGAAATGAAAATTTTGCTTAACAAAGGTCGTGTTGTCTGTAATAGTTTGGAAGGTGATGCTCAGATCCCAAGTGTTGGATTGCTGCTGCCAACATCAAAATTTTCTTTTTGGATAAGTATTTATTATCCAAGAAAAAGTATCATAGCTACAAGCATAAAACACAACAATGTCTCACTTATACAATAATATCTCTACTTAATTTCTTATTCTTACTGTTTCTACGACCATATCTCAGCTTAATTCCCATTGTTCTCTTGAACTTCAGTTTATTCCATCATTAGCTATATTGCTTATTCCTACTAATCTTAGTTTTATTACATCTCTTATCTGCTTCACTATCAGCCCTCCTGCCATTTCCTCTGAATTGTAAAGCCTCCTATTCCTTTCTGCCCAGATCATATATATGTAGGCTCCCCAAGCCAGCCTCAGTAGTAATGAATCAAATGCTTTTCCTTTCAGTCGTCGTATTGTCCACTGAAACTCCTCCTCCCATCTTGTCGCCTCCCTTTGCAAGCTACAAAGCTGTACAATTTGTTTCCAAATTTCCTTTGAATATGTGCAACTAAAGAAAATAAAATTCCTGCTCTCCCTTTCCCGTTTACAAAGCACACAGCCTTCATCCACAGATATAGCAGCCAATCCTTTGTAAGGAGTTTGTTAAAAGCAGCCATCCAAGCAACCATAGCATGTTTAGGAATATGGAGTTTGCACCAAATGAGCCTATGTCAATCCACCTTCTGCTTTCTTTTTCTCCAACACTAGTTGTGGAGTAACTTACTCTTATAGTGTTCCGTACAACTCCATCCTCTGTCTGCATTAAGAATCTGTAAGCAATGCTCCTCAATTTTAGCAGTTTCTTCATGGCCCAACTATGGCTTGTTACGCTAGGAATCTCCCATATACGACGTCCCTTGAGCACATAGCTCTGTATCCATGCTATCCACAGTGATCCGGCTTGTGTGTAGATTGACCAGAATAGTCTAATGACACTAGCTTGATTCCAGACTTCTAGATCCTTAACTCCAAGTCCTCCCTCAGACTTTGGCTTGCATATATCTAGCCAACTGACCCTTCCTTGCCTTGTTACGCTTGTTTGACCTTCCCAAAAGAACCATAGGAATAGTTCGTGATCTTCTTGATTACCTGCTTGGGCAGGAATAAATGTTTGCACCAGTAGTTGCATATGCTGAATATCACAGACTGAATTAATTACAATCTACCGGTATAAGAGATGTGCCTGGTTGTCCAGCCTTGAATTCCTAACGTAATTTTCTCAATCAAAGATGCATAGTCCCTAATGGTTAGACTGCAAGAGACCAATGGCACACCAAAGTACTTGATAGGGAGGTTGCCTTGCTCGAATCCTGTTTCTTCCATGATCATATCGAGTTCATCCTTTGAAACACCCATGCAATAAAGCTCACTTTTCATACATTTAAGCCACAGCCCAGAGAATTGGTTGGTGACAAAGAGCAAATTTGGTGGTATTTGATGCCGAGGTAAACAATGAGTTGATTTAAAAAGTAAAAGTGGTTATAATAATTTACAACAAGAATCAGTAAAACAGGTAGATTCCTTCAATAAAAACCGCTGCCAGAACTCCTCTTAAAATGATCTTTAAAGCTTATAGCATATCCCTGCAACTTAAATTTTGTGCCTTATACATTGATTTCAAAAAATATGGGGATGGCCGTATTAGAAGAAGTTCATTAGCTCTCATTTGGCAAAACAAGGCGATCTTGACCTTCAATTAGCTTTGCAGATCGAATGACATCCCCAG